GTTGTTACAGAATTACATGCTTATGATTTTGTAATAAAAAGGGATGATATTTGTGCTGGAAACTGTTTATCTCTACAAACATTCTAATGCAATAAATATTATTTATTACTTTATTAAGCAAGTCACTAATGTAATTACTAATACATTTCTCTCTTTGATACAATTGTACATTCTCTCCAGTGGTAAAAGTGGTGTAGAGCAGAAAGGAAGAAGACAGGAAGGTGGAAGAACCATGGAGAGCAGCCTGAAGTTACCTGTAAGTACCTTAGGAAAGTAGCATCAAATAAAAACCCCTCTAAAATGACAGGGCAGAAAAAAGTGGCCTAGTCCTTTTACTCTGTGTCACTTACTAGCCTGTAGTCCTAGGGGGCTCTGAACTACGGGACAGGACCCCTGACTGAAGCAAAGTAAGAAAGCTCTATCTTCTTACAAATTTAAATAGGAATGTTCATCATATACTTTTAGCTCTCCTCTCTAGACATAAGATCCTTACATAAAAAACGTGTAACTTTACTTAACCAATGAATTGTGAGAGGTAAAGGGTGTTGCTCTCAAGTGGTAATTTTAAGTGACCGTATATGACTTACCATGCCTCCCCTTTCTGTCTGTGGGGCTCCAGACAGCCTGGCTCCAAGAGAGCAAACCAGGGCAGCTGTCCTTCTCCCTCCCGCATGACATTAATAGAATTTTGTTGTTTTATTATAGAACTCTTTTAGGGCTATTTGTTACTCTGGCTGGAGTCTGGAAATTTAGATTTAGGGGGGGTTCCCACCACTGCTTAAATGAGTGGTTCCCTAGGCCTAAAGTGTGAGATACGACCAAGGGGCTTATACTAAACACCAGTGGCTTTTCTTCTGGGAACCTAAAATGTCATGCTAGTCACAGCATGAGTTCATGACCAACCCCCACTAATAATCCAGGGTTCTAAGGCTCTATTGAGCTTATGGGACAGGCATTTCACAGGTGTTGCTACAAGCTGTTAGAAAACTAAGTGCATCTCTGAGCACCACTGGGAAAGGGCCCTGGAAGCCTGCGGCTTGTTTCCTGCAGTCTTTGCTCCCTGCACCTCTTCCCTTTGCTGATTTTGCTTTACGCCCTTTCACTGTAACAAACCACACTGATGAATATGATTCTGTGCCAAATCCTTTAAGTCCTTCCAGCTTCAGCAAACTTGGGGGTGGTCTTGGAGACCTCCAACACAGTAAGAAAATATTATCAAAGTCAAAAAACAATGACATGTAGTAACTTCAAATAATGAAACTGTAGATACAGAACATAAAGTCGATCCATGGAAAATTACTAAAAAAATTATAGAATCAATCATCTGAGAAAATAGGAAAAGATCATCAAGAGAAAGGGAAGATCTGAAAAAGAACCAAATGGAACTTCTAAAACTGAAAAAGTTTGAAGAGATAATGATTGAGAATATTTCAAAATCGAGAAGATATGTGATTTCATAGACTTGGAAAGCATAATATATACCAAACAGAATTAAAAACAACGAACAACTGGAATACATTAGTGAAACAGCAGACACAGAAGGTTAAACAATCTTAAAAGCAGACAGAGGAAAAAGGCAGATAGGTCATTTATACAGAAATAATAATCAGATGAATACAAGAGTTTGACAGCAGTAATAAAAACCAGAAGTAGGTACAATAATAATCTTAAAGTACAAAAGGAAACCTGTCAATTTATAATTAAGACCCTGAAAAAACAATCTTTATGAAAACAAGAATGAATTTTAAATATTTTTAAGTAAATAGAAATAAATAATTTACTGTTAACAGATCTTTGCTAAAGAAATTTCCAAAGGGGATACTTTAAAAAGAGAGGAAGTCATCCCAAGAATAGTTTCATATAAGGAATATATAAAATGGTAAATGTTTTCTGTGAATCTAAATAAAAATTGTCCTTATAAAATGGTTATAGTCTGTGGGGTTATAATAGGATACAACTAAAATATACCATAGTGTCATACAAGTTATGCTAATACAGTTAAAATAGATTAAAGTCTTTGTATTGTTTGGTACAGAGGTGGATATGTTTGTCTTTGTTAAGTAAGTTTGGTTAAAATTAAGACTAATCACTGAGAGAGAGAGTAAATGAGAGAGAAAGGCTCTAAACCTTCTAAGGCATCAGAGGGGAAATTATGGAAAACTTTAAAAAAAAGTGTGCAACAGAAGCCAGCAAAGATCGATTAATGAAAGAACAGATAAAATAGATTTTATAGAAATACAGACATATAATGATAGATTACATTTATCAAAGAGAAAAATTACCAGTGATTGGATATAAGGTAAAATTTATGTATGATATTTACCAAAGATATTTTTACAAGGACACAGAAAAGTTTAAATTCAATAAACACACACACACACACACACACACACACACACACACACACACACACACGGCAACCATTAATCAAAAGAAACCTGAAAAGCTACATTTACAAAAAACAAATACATATTTAGAAATCATGAAAATCTCTATGAAATGGCAAACATTATACTTATAAGGAATATAAAAAATCCTAAGTTTGTATGCATCTAGTGAAATAGCCTCAAAATATATAAGGCAAAAATAGATATAATTTAGCAATCAGAAAGTGATATTTAAACATTATCATCCTAACTTGGCAGCTTTTCTCTGATCTATAGGTGTTTTACTGTTTCAGGAAAGATGCAATACATTGTAACTTTTACATTTAACATAGTGGAAAATAGGCAGCCAGTTAGAAGTTATTTTTGCACAGAACATCTGATTTTTCAAGAACAGATTAAGAGACAGCAGTATGTTAAGAACATATACATATGTGAAAGGCAAGGACCTACATCCAAGATTACTCTACCCAGCAAAGCTATCATTTAGAATGAAAGGGCAGCTAAAGTGCTTCCCATATAAGGTCAAGTTAAAGGAGTTTATCAACAACAAGCCCTTATTATAGGAAATGTTAAAGGGACTTATCAAAGAAAAAGATAAAAACTAAAAACTATGAACAGTAAAGTGACAAAAAACTCACAACTATCAACAACTGAATGTAAAAAAAACCCTAAACAAACAACTAGAACAGAAACAGAATCACAGAAATGGAGATCCTGTGGAGGGTTATCAGCAGGGATGGGGAAGGGGGAAAAGGTACAGGGAATAAGAAGCATAATTGGTAGGAATTAAATAGATAGGGGAGGTTAAAATAGTATAGGAAATAGAGAAGCCAAAGAACTTAATGTGTATGACCCAAGGACATGAACTAAGTGGGGCGGGGGGAGAAGCTGGTGGAAGGGGAGGTGCAGGAAGGAGGATAAAGGGAAGAAATGGGACAACTGTTAACAGCATAACCAATAAAATATACTTAAAAATATATATATATTTGATAAAATTATTTTTAAAAAACAAAGGAAAGGTAATTTAGATCAAACTGCACAAGAAAAAACTTTAAAAATGTGTACAAAATGAGAAAAATATAAATAATAAGGAAAGCTAACATGGAGTGGTAGGAAGCCCCAAAGCTGCCCCATGACAATATCTGTCTCCTGGTATTCACACCAAAAGGAATTTAATGTATTTCAAATAAATAAAAATGAAAACACAACTTACAAAAATTTGTGAAATGCAGCAGTGCATAGAGAAAAAAGTATAGCATTGAATTAACACATTAGAAAATATAAATAAACTTACAATTAGTGGTCTAACTTTCCACTTTGTTTTGTTAGGAAACAAACAAAATAAGCCAATTAAATCCTAAGTAAGCAGAAGAAAAGAAATAAGATTAGAGCAGAAATCAAGATACTCAAAACCAGAAAAGCAATAGGAAAAAAAAAAAAATCAATGAAACCAAAACTGATTCTTTAAAAAGATCAATAAAAGTGATAAACCTCTAGCTAGCTTGCTGGGGGGGGGGAGGGGGGAGGGAAAAGGCCACAAATTGCTACTATCAGAAAAGAAAGAGGGATACCACCAGATAGATTCTGGGGACAGTAAAAGGGTAATGTGAACAACTCTATACTTACTTACAAATTTGACAACCTAGATGAAATGGACCAAATTTTTGGAACACACAGTTTGCTGAAACTCACATAAAAAGAAATACACAACCTTAAATAGATCCATATCTATTCAAAATATTGAATCAATGATTAATAACCTTCCAAAAGAGAAGGCACCAGGCCAAAGTGGGTTCACTGGTGAATGCAACCAAACATTAAAGGAAAAAATGTCTGTACAATCTCTTCAGAAAATAGAAGTAGAGGAAATACTTCTTAACTCTTTTTATGTATTACCCTAATACCGAAACCACATAAAGACATTACAAAAAAACACAGACCAATAGTCTCTCATCAATATAGATGCAAATATTTTCAACGAAATATTAACAAATGAAATTCAGCAATATATAAAACAAATTATAAACTACAACCGAGTGAGATTTATCCCAAGTGTTCAAAGCTGGTTCAATATGAAAAAATCAATTAATGTGCTCAACCACACCAACAAGCTAAAAAAAGAAAGATCACATGATCATTAGTAATAGATGCAGAAAAAGCAATTGACAAAATCTAATACCCATTTACAATAAAAACTTTCAGAAAACTAGGAATAGAGGGAAATTTCCACAACTTGATAAAGAACACAGGTTGGGGCAAAAGCCGGTTTACAGATGTTTGTATAAAAAATAATACTATAGTTAATTAATAATAATACAAAAGCAAACTCTGTGTTCTGTGTACTCACAACTAGAAACCTGCTTTTGCTCCACCCTGTATATACAAAAAATATACAGCTAACATCATACTTAATGGTGAGGAACTTGAAGCTTTGTCACTAAGATCAGAAACAAGGCAAGAAAATTCCGCCACCAATCCTTTTCAACACCATGTTCAGCTAATGCACTAAAACAAGAAGAAATAAAAGGTATGTAAGTTGAGAAGGAAGAAATAAAACTCTTGTTTGCAGGTGATGTGACTGTTTATGTAGAAAATCCAACAGAATTTACGAAGTTCCATTCTTAATCCAATTTTATTAAGAATTTTGCTACAACACCAATATATTAGAAGAAAATAATTTTACAGCTTAAACATTTTAGTGTCATGTTGTGCTACCAAGTTTTATTTACATAGGTCTTCAGAATACACTTCAGTTTTCCACCCACTGTTTCAAGTGCAAAAAGACAGGGAAGCATAAGTGACAATAATATACACAATGCATCAGTGGTTATTATTTTTAGGTTTTGTTTTTTTTTTAGGATAATCCACTGAATTTTTCTACCAATGACCTTCCCACCGGTCTCCCAGCCTCCAAGAGTAGATTTCCACAGAATCAAGGCCAGAGCAGTCCAATATATCTTACAGGTGATATTTGAAAGTTCCTGAGTAGCTCCAAATCATTTTTCTCCTCATCTTTTTTCAAAAGTCTTGGATGATGAAGAGGAATCATGACCTTCATCACTACTATAGTGCTCATACAAAGTCTGAAATTAAAAACACATCTATTTTAGAACTTAAAATTCAATATATTGTCAGATTAAGAGATAATTATATATTTTAATATATAATAATTTTCTCTTTTGTTCTTATAATTAGGAAGTTATTTTATAAATGGTTGAACATAATAATTCTAGCTTGGCCTAAGAATCAGCTATTATGTGTTACAGCTCAATTTTCTATAAGGGAACTGTAACATGCTTTTAATAAGGCCTTCAAGGCCTTCTTGATCTCCCTTTTTCTAAAAAAAGAAAAAGCCAGTCTTAGATAAATTCCTATACTGTAAAATATACTCATTAGGAAATGTACTTTCCAGTGATATTTAAACGAATGAACAGAGATATTAAAACTCATACAAATTAATTAGTAAGTATAGCTATGTTAAAATGTATATTTTAAAAAGGGCTTAATGCTAAGTCAGCATCTAATTTAGGAAGATATCTTTGCTATTAAGGAACACATACCCTTGAAAAAGGTCACTAATCTACCTTAATTTCATTTATAAAAGGCTGATATACAATGGTAGAAACTTAAAATATGGAGATATGAAATATACAGCAAAGTCAAGACAAATTCTGCCCCATTTTAATTCCTAAAGCCATTGATTTAGACATTAGCACTTCAGAAAATTTAAGAAAAACATTTTACTTTAAATCATAAAAATGCATAATAGCGAATAAACTAATTCCTCCAGTAATGTGTCCAACTTCTTGACATCTTGGATTGGCTTTACCATACCCAGAGAGCTAAAACCTCCCATAAATTATGATGTTATAATTGAAATGTATAATTAGTAACAGCTTGGTAACTATACAAATTGGTAAATAAGTACACATAACAGTCTAGAAATAATGAGGTGTTTGATGGCAGTGAGATACAAAAATTATGGTATAGATAAAAACAGGGGGAGGGGGGTGGAGGGGAATGAAGGGGGGGAGTGGGACAACTGTAATGGCATAATCAATGAAATATATTTGGGGAAAAAAACCAAAAAACAGGCATAGCAAAGCTGAAAGATTTAAGATATTTGCTTTGAGAAATGTACTGACTACTACAGACAGCTTCACATTAAGTCATTATATGTGATAAATACTGTGTTTTCTCTAAAACCGTTTAAGAAAAAATTGGGTAGAAGAAATGAATTCAAAAGGTAGGTGAAAAATGGTATTGATTTAAAAGACTCATCATTCAATTTATTCCAGCTGAGATTGACAGCAATCTTTTGAATGAACTTTATTACAATCCACTTTCAATTATGCTATATGCATAATAAGAATGTAAATCAAATGAATCTACATGTGTCAAAAGCACATGTTACATAGATAAATACTTCATAATTGATCTGACGACTGGACCAGCTTTTCTTTGAATTATCCATTTAAGTATCTAACTCACTTAACTATACAAAACAATTGAAATTAACATAGACAACAGAAATATTTACTTTAGCAGCTTTCAAAATGGAGTTAGGAGAATTCAGACCAACAAGTTGGCCCAGAACATGTTTCATTTCTTCAGAGGTTCCCTTATGGTGACCTATAAAAGAATATATAATCAATAACGCACTGGTACTAATAAGGAAAATATACCTTCATATACAAATACACATTCCATGTAGCACCACAATAACTGACATTCTATTTTTAAAAGATTTTATTTATTTAATTTTAGAGAGAGGGGAGGGAAGGAGAAAGAGACAGAGAGAAACATCAATACGTGGTTGCCTCTCACATGCCTCCCACCGGGGACCTGGCATGCAACCCAGGCATGTGCTGTCTGGGAATCAAACCAGTGACACTCTGGTTCACAGACTCAATCCACTAAGCCACACTACCCAGGGTTGACTTGTAATTTATCCTGATCATAGCCTCTTACTGAGGATAAATAAAAATATATGCCAGTAAGTAACAAAGGCAATGTCATTTATTTCAGTTTTTAGCATTAAAAAAAAAGGGGGGAACTTTCTTAAGGAAGGAGGCAGTCTGGAAGAGGGCAGCCAGTTCAGATTGTTTTCTTGTAATTGTTAAAAGTCTGCTTATATTAGTAATCTTAATAAATTGATTTTTGAATAAGTACCTGGTTGAGTTTGAATATGAACATATGGGTGTGCCAGAAGCTCAGCAATGGAAATCCTTCGTCTAGGGTCCCTTATTAAACAACACTACAAAAATAAAGATGATTAAAAAACAAAACAAAACAGGTTTTCTTACTGTATCATGTTATAGAAGTTGCTTTCTAGATAGCCTACTCAGAAATGAGATTATTTCATGCCATATTTTGCAAAATCCCCAAGTATTCATTTTAAAACTAACACATTTAAAGTGAACTTAACATGCCTTAAAAACCCAGCTGAGCCAGCCATTTCTTTCAATGGGCCACTTAGTTAAGGAGCTAACCCACTTAGTTAATTCTAATAATTTCTGCAAACAAATACAGTTGACCCTTGAACTCAAATGGATGGTTCACTTTTTCAATAAAAACTGTAAATGTATTTTCTGTTCCTTAAGATTCTTAATAAAGTTTTCTTTTCTCTAGCTTACTTTATTGTAAGAATACAGCATTAATATGAGGTCTGTCAGGAAAAACTCCAGCCACTGTTAAAATAATGAGAACAGTTTGCATGATATTAATGTAACTTGGCAGCCAAGGAAGTGGACTAGAATGTGTGTGTGTGTACAACAATGACTTCACTGTACTAGTCAGTGGGAACAGTAGACACCTTTGAGTAAGCATGTACACTGTGTGGTTTTTGCATTCAAAATGACTAAGTGAGTACATCAATGAATCTGCATCAGATTTTGTGTTAAGCTTGAACATTCCTCCACAGAAACTATTTGGATGATTCAGAAGGCAATAGCTATGGGCAACTGGTGATTGGCAGCTTCATCACAACAACATGCTTGTGTATGCATCACATCTCATGCAGAGTATTTTGGTAAAACACATTATCACCCAGGTGACTCAGCCCCCACTATAGCCTGGATTTGGTGCCCTGAGACTTCTGGGTCTTCCCCAAACTAAAATCACCTTTGAGAGGGAAAAGATCTAAGATCATCGATGAGATTCAGGAAAACATGATGGCAATTGGGAGAACTGTGTGAGGTCCCAAGGTACCTAACTTTGAAGGACACTGGGTAGTCACTGCCCTATGTACAATGTTTCTTGTATCTTCTTCAATAAACGTCTCTATTTTTCATATTACACAGTTGGACACATTCTGGACAGACCTCATATGTATAACATACAAAACGTGTTAACCGACTATTTATATTATGGTTCAGGGTTCTTGTCAAGAGTAGGTTATTACTTGTTAAGACTTGGGAGGTCAAAACTGACATGCAGATGCTGGACTGACATGCAGATGCTGGACTAGGAGGAGGACGGGCACTCCTAACCTCCAAGTGGTTTAAGGGTCAACTGTATGTAACACATTGTTCTTCTCTAGTGTACTATTAATGTCACCTTTAACACATCTTGAAGGTCCTTCTCTGGAATTTCAGGAAATTCGATTTCATGATTAGGGTCAATTATGGCATGTAATTTAGAAATCTGATTAATTATGTGCTGAAATGGTGTTTTTCCATAAGTCATATAGTACAAAATGCATCCTAAGGACCAAACATCACTTTTAGGGCTTATCTAAGTAAAACAAACAAACAAAAAATAGAAATAAGTTGCCATTATTTTCATATAAAATTAACTGTAAGAATATTATATGTACACACATACATATACATATATACTCTAATATTTAATATCACAAGTAAACCTCAATTATTATGTAAGTACTGGATTATGTTTACACGAGAAAACATCTTTTTTTAGTTATTATATTTTATCAAGAAACAAGCTTCACTTTAAGTCTTTCAACAAATTCATAATTAACATATTTCAACTAAAACAAAATATTACATTCTTGTCAGCTTATGAAATACAAAACTACAAAATAAAACTGCAAATTTTAAATGTACTTGTTTTCCCCAAAGTTACTGGATTATAATAAACTTTATATAAATTTATAATATATAAGTATGTATGGGTTTTTAAGTTATTTACGTTGAGCTATCCTACAGAACAGAAACTACAGAGCCAGGACGAGCTGGGCTTGAATCCCGGCCCAAAGAGCCAAGAGACATTCACTGGAAAGCAATGTGAGACAGAGTTAGACTGGGGGGAGTTTTGAGCTCTTTAATAGTAGGGATAAATTCACATGTTGGGATAAAATTTTATCTTCTACACAGAATCACTAAGACCACACTGGATAGCAGTAGGTGATCCATCTGAACTAAGATTTTCCAATATATATTAAAGCCCTGAGTTGACAACTATGAAATTCTAAATTCTGAATGTAATTTAAAACAAATTTTATTCTAAAGTAAAAATGAATAAAACAATTTAAAAACTGAAATGACAAATTTTAGGAATTAATGAAAATATGAGACACTATAGTAAAACCTATAAATACAAGCTAAAGTAAAACTCAGTAAAATTCACTTTTAATATATTAATTATAAGCAAGTATACTGAAATTAAATTAGTAATTATTTAAATCCAGAAGCTAGAAAAAAAATAAACTCAAAGGTATACAAATAAAGATAAAAGCAGAATTACTGAGGACATGAAAATAGAATTAATAAATGAATTCAAGACCTGTTTCTTTAACAATAACAAAACCATGGCTAGTCTAATAAAAAAAAAGACAACAAATCTAAATATAAGAAAAAGAGAAGCAAAATAGATATAAAATGGTATACTTTCATGCCAGTTACTTGAAAAGATATTTAGAAACTATAATTTTCTAGGAAGAAAAATGTAATTAGTAAATAAAACCACATTTATTGATCAATTATTTTGAACTGGACAATGTGCTAAGTGTTTCACATTCTTTCTCATACCCCCCCCCCTTTTTTAAACAGGTACTGTTCATGAGCCTAAGTTACACATGAAGAAACTAGGCAAGTTACATCACAAAGTCAGTTAATGACAATGGACCTGAGACCCAAAGGCAGGCCCTGGACCACGTGTGCCGCCACCCAGCTGGTCACACCATCACAGAGAGAGGATCGTCACAGAGAGAGGATCACCCTGGGAGCAGGAGGCACCAGTGGCAGGCAAAACGGGCCCAATGAGGAGCGGCAATGAGGCTAACACAGAGCTCAACGAAGTGGTCAAATAAGATAAGGGAGAAAGTAGACTGTGGCAGGCCAGGAGAAATTATATACTAGAGTCGTATTTGAAAATGCAGAATTCACAACTGAATAATTGGTAAAAAATAAAATGTAAGAATCAGAGAGGAAACAGAGAAGACCTCAAAGGTTATCAATTCAATGTTGTTTATGGTGTCCAAACCAGAGCTAATTCAGTGTTAATTTTTTTCTTTAATTTTAAAACTTAAACATACCCTAGGTGCATTGCTTGTAGGAGCACACTGTAAAGCATCACCACATTAAAAGCACAATATTTAAGAACAATTTCAAATCAATAAAGGACAAAATTAAATCCCATGACGGTCTACTTAAGAAGGCAAGGTCTCTGTAAAGGCCTACAAGTTTCACTTTCAGTCATCTGATAAGTTTATTCAGAGAACAGACTATTCCCCATTAATGTCGGATAAATGACCAATAACCCTTACAGTACCTTTGATTTGGATTTCCCATTCTCTCTGGAGGAAGACATATCTTTGATTGCTTCTGGTGGCATATAATTAACTGTACCAACCTATTTGTCAAATCACAGAAAACACAAATCAATGAAAACATTAAATTCTGCTTTAGATTTTTAAAAACATGGATGCCAGATTCTTAGCAACTTGGATCATTACAGATTTCAGTAATATATCTGAAAAATGCAAGCACCTGACAACAATGTTAAGATACACCTTTCTCCATAATTTCAGCAAAATAAATTAAGTTCATAATCAGCATATTGACTCCTTTCAGAATGCTGAACAAATTCTTCTATGATTATGGTGGGAAACTACCATAAAACTGTGCAGGCTAAAATTATATTAATGTCCATTAACTTTGAAGAAACTGATCAATCACTCATTTTCTGTCTTGGGATAGACTCAGAATGTTTTTTTCCCCCCTTTTAAATCAACCAACCAACCAACCAACCAACCAACCAACCAACCAACCAACCAACAATCTAGCTTTTCTCTAAGAACTCTCTGGGCCCATGTCCAAACTGACATGGGATGACCATCTAAATAATGTAAGAGCTTTCACAGTAAAAGTAAGCCAACTTTTTAAGACATTCATTTTTATCCTAAAATAAATAGTTCTGCTTTCAAACATGGAATACTGTATTTTGAGGGCCTTGGTATAGAAGATATTTTCAAGGCAATTTACAAATAAATATTTGGTCAGATTTTTAATGTAAAGAGAAGTGAGTGTTACACAAAATTGTTTGAAGGGCACTCTGCTCATTTACTTGTGCTATAAAAGTCTAGTTTTATTCCTAGAACTAAAGCAGACCCACATCAGAAATCTGTATACACAGAACACATCATGGCTCTAAGCAGGATTATTTTTGGTTATTCATTGGTGTCATCACCTCAGTTTTTTGGGGGACAACTTCATTAAGTTTGCTATTGCATATTCTATTATAAAAATGCAGTCAAGTATAGTAACTTGTGTTTTCAGAATAAAGGTCCCCTTAAGAATTTTCTTTTTCAAATGTAAACGATAAGAAAAGCTTCACTTGGAAGAATAAGATTATTTTACCTCATGGACATTAAAAAAACACGTAACTGCAATCCCTCTTTGGTTACTACCAGGAAACTCTGAGACCATGTTTCAGGTGAATTTTAGACCATGACAAAGATGATTTCCAAGACAGGTATTACTGCTTCTCTACCTCGACTACAGGAAAACCACTCAAAATCGATGGATATATTTCCATCAGATCTTGATTTTCTATACAAATTGTATCAATCATGGCTTTGATATTTTTATAGTTCTAGTCTTATAAAAAGGCGCTGAATCCCTTGAAGAATGTGGCAGGTAAAAAGAAAATCCCCATTAGAAAATTAATAATTCACAAGTGAAAAGGAACTGACCTCTACTGGGTGGTAACCAACTATTCATCAAGTCTCACCTGGGAATCCTTAATAATACTTGTTGTATCTGGTTGCAGTTGGTTTGCAATCCCAAAATCAATTAGCTTTAGCATTCCATCAACTATTAGAAAATTAGCGGGTTTCAGATCACTGTGAACAATACCTTCAAAATAAAAAATCCTTTGTAATATTACACAATATAAGACATTCTAAGTACAAAAATTTTCACAATCTATAGGCTGGGTTGATTCATTTCATTAGTCAATCAAATTATTTATTTTAATTATATCCTACAAAGAAAGATATAGCACCTGCCATGTGCCAGGACTATTCTAAGTTTGTTGCTTGTATTGAATCATTTAATCTGTAAGTGCTGAGGCGATTATTATTATTATTATCCCCATTTTTAGGTAAGGAAACGAAGGCAAAGAGTTTAAATAATCTGTTCAATGTTGCAGAGCCTCAGTGACCTTGCCATGAGTGAACTCAGGCAGTCTGGCATCAGCATTTAGCTTAATCACTGTAATTCTCCACCCCTTAGAGAGCACTTTAAATTACACCGCAGACAGTAAGACCCTAATGCTCCCAATGCCTCCATCTCTACAGCCTGATCTTCATCACTGGTGAATTCTCTTTAATTTCTAGAAGGAAGATGCGAAGAGACAAATTAAAATTACCCAGGATAACAGTTTTTTAAAAAACATAAGGTAAAGGCAAAAAGCCCTAACAACAACCAAGTCCAAGTAAAGTGAAAAACAAACCAGAAGGTAGGGCTAACAGTTAAAAACCAAAACGAAAGCACTTCCGCCCAAGATGGAGGCAGAGGTGGAAACACTGTGCCTCCTCACACAACCAAGTTTAAAGATGACAAAGTTTTAGTATCAAAAATGAGCCAAAACAGAAAATTGAACTGTACGGAAGTCCGGCAACAATGAACCATTCATTCATCCAGACCAGTAAGAGGGGCAGAGTCAGCGTCTGGCGGAGGGGGGTCGCGCAGAAAAAAATCGGCGGGACTGACCCAGGAGCCCAAGCAGCAGTTGGCAGATCCCAGGCATGGGGTGGCAACAGGCGGACCCAGTGAGGGCGCAAGGCAGCTGGCTGACCACGGTCACACATTCGCGTATGCAGATAAACCAAATAAACTGGGTGAAGGAGTGAGCAGTGAGACAGACAGCTCAGGCTAGGGCCCCAGTGACGGGAATTAAAGCCTGAAAGCACCAACTGGAAAAACTTTCCGGGGGTTGAGGTGCCGGGAGAAGCTCCCAGGCTCACAGAGAGTTTGTTGGAGAGACCCACCGGGTCCTGGAGGGTGCACAGGCCCACACGCCCGGGAGCCAGCACCAGGGGGGCCTGGTTTGCTTGCAGGAAGCAGCAGAGGGGACAGAAATCTGAGAGATAGTAGAACAAACGCCATTGCTCCTCTCTGACCCCGCGCCCACATATGGTGTCACCCTACCCTTGTGAATACCTACGGCTCCGCCCCTCATACGTAACAGGTGCAAACAGACCAAAACGTTATGGCTCAAGAACAGCTCAAAGACCCAGAGACAAATACTTTTAAATGACCAAGAGATAGCCAACCTATCAGATGCACAGTCCAAAACACTGGTGATCAGGATGCTCACAGAACTGGTTGATTTTAGTCACAAATTAGAGGGACATATGAAGGCTAAACTAATTGAAATGAAGGGAAATGCACAGGAAACCAATAGTAATGGAAAGGAAACTGGGACTCAAATCAAGGGAGCAGACCAGAAGGAAGGAAAAAATGACCAAACAGAAAAGAATGAAGAAACAAGAATTCAAAAAAATGAGGAGAGGCTTAGGAACCTCCAGGACATCTTTAAAGGTTCCAACATCCAAATTATAGGGGTACCAGAGGGAAAGAGCAGGAGCAAGTGGAAAACTTATTTGAACAAATAATAAGGAAAACTTCCCCAACCCGGCAAAGGAAATAGACTTCCAGGAAATCCAGGAAGCTCAGAGAGTCCCAAAGAAGTTGGACCCAAGAAGGAACACATCAAGGAGCATCATAATTATATTAGCCAAGATTACAATGAAGGAGAGAATCCTAGAAGCAGCAAGAGATAAGGGGACAGTCACCTACAAAGGAGTTCCCATCAGACTGTTAGCTGATTTCTCAAAAGAGACCTTACAGGCAAGAAGGGGCTGGAAAGAAGTATTCCAAGTCATGAAATCCAAAGACCTACATCCAAGATCGATCTATCCAGCAAAGCTTTAATTTAGAATGGAAGGGCAGATAAAGTGCTTCCCAGATAAGGTCAAATTCAAGGAGTTCATCAAGCCCTCATTATATGAAATGCTAAATGGACTTATCTAAGAAAAAGATAAAAAATATGAACAATGAAAGGACAGCAAACTCACAGTTATTAACAACCACACCTAAAACAAAAGCAATCTAAGAGGACAGCTAGATCAGGAGCAGAACCATAGAAATGAAGATCACATGGAGGGTTAGCAACAGGGGAGTGGGAGGAGGAGAAGGGGGGAGAAGGTACAGAGAATAAGTAGCATAGATGGTAGGTAGAAAATAGATGGGGGGGAGGACAAGAATAGTATGGGAAATATAGAATCTAAAGAACTTGAGACACGTGGTCATAAACTAAAGGGGGGGAAAGGTGGAGGAGGGGTATGTAGGGTGGAGGGGAATGAAGGGGGAAATAGAACAACTGTAATGGCATAATCAATAAAGTATATATTTTAAAAAGTGAAAAAAATTATTTACTGTGATTGAACAATAAAATAATTATTAAAAAAAACCCGAAACAACAATAAAAAAACAACTCCCACACAAGGCACACAGTATAGAAGGACTAGAATAAATGAAATAAACATCTCAGATTTTTAGGCTGTCTGAATCACAAAGTCTCAGATTTGCTGTAATCCAGGTATTTGGAGACCTAGGATTATGACTGTTAATTCTGATAAAGATACACTTTGCATTTATTTATTCATCATGGATGTAGGACTTGAGTTCATGCCCTACTATTTGGTTGACAGTGTTTTAAAGAAGTGGTTTTGTTCCTTTAAATAAACTTCTAAAATATTTAGTTTAGTCTAAAATTGCCAATAACCAATAACTTAAAATTATGAATGTATGTCTCTAAAGTGACATTATTAATGGATATTTAAACATTACATAGCAAGAGATTTTAAATACCATGTTGATGAATCGTGTGAACTGCCTCCAACATATTTTTCCAGTAACTCTTGCGTTCCCATGGGTCAATGGATTTTTTCTTTTTAAGCCAACTATTAAGATCAATATTCCCACACTCCATTACCATGTAAATGTAGTGGTCTGTGATTTCACTGACATTAAAAAGAAACAAATAAAACAACAAAACAATAAATGCTTAGGTTATACTCTTAAGATCTACTAGATATTTATCTCAAGAATTACAGTAAAAAAAAGTTTTCTTTTTAAGTTAAAAAAAATTCTTACTAATCATAGAGTCGAATGATCTTATCACTGTGTTGTTGTAGTTTATTCAAATAAGCAATTTCATTCCGGTAACTCTCAACTGTCTGGCTATCTGCTTCTTCTAAGTTAACATACTTTATAGCATGTATCTGTTTCTTTTCATTCAACACTTGAAACACCTATATAGTAAGACAAAAGAAAAAGTTTAGAATGTGCTAATACAACATTGAATTTATTCCTTAACACAGGTTAAGGAATACTGATATAAATAATTTACAATGTCTAGGCTGCCTTGGCTGGTGTGGCTCAGGATTGAGTGCTGGTCTGCACACCCAAGGGTCACTGGTTTGATTCCCAATTGGGGCACAAGCCTGGGTCACATGGGCCAGGTTCCCAGTTAGGAGTGTGCAAGAGGCAACCAACTGATGTATCTCTCGCATACTGATGTTTCTGTCCCTTCTTTCCTTCCCTTATCTCTAAATATAAATAAATAAAATCTTTAAAAAATAAATAAAATGTCTGGGTTTATTCTGAGAATAGAAAAAACTGTTAGGAGAGTAATAGTCCACTCTCAATTACCTATGACAAAGGTAATTCACTAACTCAAAGACAATCCCTAGAAAGTTTCCATATCAACATATTAGAAAGGTAATTTAAATTTCATGTCATAACACTCTGTTGAATGCTTAACTAGGGAAATAACCTAAAAAGACAACACTGAGAAATGTAAAGACTAAGGGCTATAATAAATTTCACATAGGGTGTTTTTACCATTGTGCCTGGAGTTAACAATTTCATTCATGTGTTAGGAAATATTTAAAATTACGAGAACAAAGCAAATGCATACAGAAAAATAAACTAATATCATTCAAGAATTGCTATTCATGGTACTAATTGTAAGCTATCAGTATATTCAGTTGAAAAAATAGATCAGGTCTAATTTTCAAAGTCAAGTATACAGAAACAAGATGTTATAGACATGTTGTCAGGATCTCTGAGGTCCAGGTGCTCTGGCTGGACAGTCAATTTCTGAGCAATGTTGGTAGGGCAGATAATATATATGAAAAATTAGCTCTAGTCAGGTAGCTCAGTTGGCTAGAGAGTTGTCCAGATATGCCAACAATGCAGGTTCAATCTCTGGTCAGGGACCATACACCAAACAACTAATGGATGAATACATAAGTGGGAAAACAAATCAATGTTTCTTTCTCTCTAAAAATCAACACATAATTTTTTTTAAGTAGAAAACACTGCTACTGTGTTGAACCCTCGGCAAACATGCAACAGGAATGGGGCTTCTAAAAGGCAATAATTCAAAATACAAAGTGCCAACGTAAGCAAGGAAAATTACATTCATTTACTCCTTTTGACACAATGAAGTAAACATCACTTATTTAAAGCCATTTAACTTTGACTATCCAGCAGGAACTGGCAAGCCAAAGTGTATCTCAGGCTGTCAGGTACAGCTTAGTGACTTAAAAAAAACACAAATGCAAAATTCTAACAAAGTATTTGCACATACATGGTTTACTTGCACACACAGGCCATCAGAGGGTGAGGGGCATAAAATAATGATATGGCAAGAGACAGCAAAAAATAGCAAGGAAAAAATAAAAGGAATTTTAAAATAGTATAAAGCTATTTTACATAAACAGCCTTACAAATCCCAAAGAACTGAGTTATCTACTATTCTAACACAATAAATGTCTTCAGTAGCACCCCTCCTAAGTCGGTGCTAATGTTATTTAGAGAAAAAATCTGGGGAGAAGAGCAGGGAACTGGAATTAAGAGCAGGTCTCTAAAGAGACCTGTCACTTGTTGGGAGAAGGAAATGGGAGCCAGGGATGAGAAGGATTTTTTGTCTCAAGGGCAATGTGGGCCCCTATAAATGAGGAAACAAAGAGACCAAAATTGTTAAAAGACAAAGAAAGAAGAGCTTAAAATATTTTTATTCATTTCCTAAATATTTAAGATACACATAACTTTGCTAATAAATGTTTTCAAATTTTGGGGGTAGATACTTACCTTACTTGAACCTCCACTTCCTATCTGCTTCAAAATGGAGTAAATTCTTCCTTTAACTAAAATGCATTCACTTGTTGAAGAGGATGAGGAAATCTAAATTTAAATATGTAAAGAGTCAAAGGTTCAAGGAAAATGCCTGAGAAAATAGCTTGCATTTAATATAGTAAAATACTTCCAATTTTGAAATTGTCTTAAATATTAGATAATTAGATATTAGTCACAATTATTTAAAAGAATTTAGATACCCTAGTCCAGGAAATAAACTTATTAAATTGTTATACAAAATTCCAAGTTCTCCTCCTCTAACTTATCTTTTCTTCTTAAATACATGAAAATAAGATGTAAAGGGGAGGAGCAGGGAACCACTTAATGTTCAACCTACAAACTCATAAGTTATCATTTATATCTTATCTATCACCTTTTCCTTACATAAACCTCTTGACTTACATACATACAAAAATAAATACACAGATTTTTTCATCTAGCGTTAAGCTGTAAAGGAAGCAGTGTGCTAAGGTGCTAGGAGCTCCAAAGTCAATCTGACAAATGCAAATTTCAGAAATGCCACCTTTTTGTTGAAGGAGTTTCGAGGTACTCAATTTGAACTTCAGCACCCTCCGGAGCAAACTTTCAGCCGATCTAATCTACTGCCCCCCCCCTTCCCTTCCCTTCTGCCAGAGCTCCCTGGGGACGTACAAAAGCTTTGAACAGATGGAGTGATGTGAGAGGACGTTTTCTGAGCTGACAAGGAAGCTGAAGACACAAAGAGTACCTGATTAGCTGACTAACCAAGTCAAAATAGGGTCTAAATAAATCTCAATTTAACTAAGTCCTGCGTTAGATCCCAAGTGGTACAATCTCTCTTATGTAATCTCCTTCCACATTAATATAAAAGATAAGAATTCTAATTTCTTATCTTTTGGGGTTGAAAGAGACCTTTGAGTCATGATAATTTGTATTCTGTAAGAAAGTATTTGCTTTTGAAATACCGTTGCTTGTTGTCTTTCATTAGATTGTTATTTGTTATTTTTATCAAAATTCTTCACTATCCTCTTTACCCTACTTCTTTTGGAGCTTCCTCTCATACTTAAACTGAAAATTTTCTCAGAGGGAAGAAAATGGTTCAATTTTATTTCCCCCTAACTGCTAACTTGTTTTGTTTTTGTTTTTGAAAAATAAAGTAATTCTGACTTATTTCTAACTTAAAATATTAATGTGAAGTTCAGTTTCCTATCCAGATAACATCCCACTTTCTCTTTGGTCCATCCTCCTCACTGTCATCAGAGTATTTGTTTCAAAATGCAAATAACTTCCCTTCCCTTCCCTGCTCCAGCCAGTTCCAACAGCTTCCCATCTCTCTGGTGGTGTGGTAAACAGCAGGACCCTAAGGATCCACTGCCCCCCACCCCCACCCCCTTATCCCTTCCTAAGCTCCAGCCATGCCCTGGCTTCTTTTCAGTTTCCTCCTGACACTGACCAGGACTTTTTCCTCCTGACAAAACATGTTTTACAGGATTTTACATATTCTTTCTTAGGTCTGATAGCCGTAAGGAACCCACCCTTTCCAGCACAGGGCAGCACCCACCACTGGTGGTGTTTCAGGCTTAAAGCATTGTTTCGAGCTTAAGTCAGGCAGAGGAAGTAAGGCGGCCAAGAGATTAGGAGACTTCCTGCAGACAGAATGAGGACTCAGGCTATGTCAAAGCCAAGGGGTGAGGGTCCATCACCGGCTTTCTCCATAGCCCCCCCCCCCAAGTCCTTCCCTGGGGCTTCCACATAATTGTGCCTGTTTTCAGTCGTCCCCCCCTTGGGGAATCTTACCCATCAATGGCTAACCAATAAAGTGTCGGGGGCCAGTTATGGGCGAAATAAAAGGAGCAGGAGTGGCACTCCTGCCAGGGGGATAAACTTTGTCTCCTTAGTGGCTTATGGTCTGAAGCTGGCTCACTCACTCTTAGCCATAAGGGCTTACAGCTTCTGAAACCAGACAGTGTGGTTCCCAACATCTCCCCCTTTTTTGTTTTTTAAATCAACTGTAGCTGTTAGGCCTATGAAACCTATGATTTGCTGTTCTCAAATGCAATCTTAAGAAAACAACAATATATATATATATATATATATATATATATATATATATATATATATATATATATATATATATATCATAAAGCACAAATAAGGATTAAGACATGAAGGCACCCAAGGGCTGACATGACCCAAACTCATAAATTCAGTCCGTTGAAAAATACTGCAAATGCAAAGGAATGATAAGAGTAACAGGTCTGTTTATACTTTAATCCTTGGGAGAATTAGCACAGACTTCATGAAGTTACTTTAAAGATATGCAGCAAGGGCTTGTGCCTGAACTCAGGGTGAGAGAGTTTTAGCAAGAGCAAGTCACAACGCAGTCTAGGTATAGTGCAGGCCTAGGTGTAATTTCCATGAAAGAACTTCTTCACGGGCGTGGTCCTATGTGCCGACTTGCCCCCCCACTGTTTTTCCACGTGGGTGCTGGGCCACATTTCCACGTCTGGCGAAGTGGTTCCCTACAATTACCCCCATTTTACAGATGATGAAACAGGCACAGAAAGTTTGAGTAACTTGCAGAAGGTTGAATAGATGGTAAGTAGTGTGGCTAAGATTCAAGGCTAGACAGTCACCCTTTAAACCCATACTTCCTACCAGTATTAAGATGCTTCTGAGATAGTTACTAAAAATTAGTTTTAGTACTGATATCAGTAGAGTGTCTAAATTCATTTTTCTCTAGATGGCAATGAAATTGTTTCACCAGCAAAAATTTTTTTCTTATTTTATAATTATTACCATATTTCGCTGCATATAATGAGCATTTTTTCCCTAAATTTTTGAGGGAAAAATAAGGATGTGTGTGCATTATACATGGGTAGTGAAATACCTTGTATCTATTCTTGTGTTTTATAATTATTTGTTACATAAAATTTCTTATACCACAATATGTTCAAAAACTAAAATTAAAATTCCTTTACAATACAAAAAAACAAGCATCTAAATGTAAATAAAGAATGGCATTAAAAAATTAAAATGAAAGAGTTTCCCCCCAAAAGTTTGGGCCAAAAATGTAGGTGTGCATACAGGGGAGTGCATTATACATGGCAAAATACAGTACTTTATAATATATTCTAATAATATCTCATATTGCTATTCTCGTCCCCTTGAAAATGTACTTGTATAGTAAGTAGCCAATGAAACCAGGCTGCTGACAAACAGCTGGCTCAATTAGTTAAATGAAATAAAAACCTAGATTACAAGAGAAATTTTATCTAGTAATTCAAACTGGACCTTTGGCCTAGGTAATGGGAAAAAAAAAGAAAAACAAAAACCCAAACTTCATTAGCCTCTTCATGATCTAACTTCTTGAGCTCAGAAGGTTATCAGAAATGAATTTTGCTTAATGAGACTAAGAATCGACAAGTCCTTAAGACTTTTCCTAACAACTAGATGCTGTAAAAATAAAATCTTTGAAACTGACCACACTGTAACTTATACCATCATAGACAAAGCTTATCAAACCTGTAAGTTCTGAAGTGGAGTAATGGGTATTTGCGGCTGCAGCGGCTGCGGCTGCTGCGGCTGCTGCGGCTGCTGCTGGAAGTAGGCAGGCTGTCCGTAAGGTGTTGACAACTGACAAGCTGGTGGAAAGTCGTTTTTCATAACTGGAGTCCTAAAGCTAAGAAATATATTTTTAAAATTTAATACATTAAAATTTTAAAAACAAAATTCTGACTCATTTTTTGTGTAATTTTAATAAGTGAATATATACTTTGAATGTGTTATATCAAACAGAATCAAAGTCGGTTTTCATAATATAGCTGAATTATGTATTCTAGATATACCATGACAATTTTATTTTGGGGGAATTTTTTCTGAAGTAATTTTTGTCCCCAGACCAAAAAAAAAAACAAAAACAAAAAAAAATCTTGTTGTAAAATGAATAAGAATGGTGCTGAAAATATTAGGTTGGAGTTATTTTATAAAAATTTAGCCAAGGTAAAGTTCAGCCTATGGCTAATCATAGATGTTATGGGTGCTTTTTAACAATAATGTTCTACAATAGCTTGCTATAAATATCTGAAAGCCAATTACATCAGAGAAGTTTGGCCTTTAAGCTTAAGGCCATTCAGTTCACATTTGTGCTTTGCTTGCCTTATTCTCACTATTTTTCTTTCAGTACCTAGGCACCATGGACTTAAATTATTCTGTAAAACACTAAAAAAATATATTAACATACAGCCACTAATTTAAGAATAAGATGTGTCACATTCCTTTATTTTCTTTCTTTGAATATCACTAATTTGCCTTTGTAATAATAGCTCGTGTTTTCTAAAGTCAGAACTGACCATCCAATTTCTTCACTCATCCTTCATTCCCATCCAGCAAGACCTATAGCTTTGAACACTCTCAGAACTATGTGACCTGCACAACCCACCTCTTTCAGAAACAATCACATTCCAATTAACACCTCCTTTGCTATAAAATGCACCCACCCTTTATCTGCTGCTCTAAGAATGTAACCTTCAAATCTCTCAATTAGAGAAGTATCCATGTGGCAATGGGTAATTGTCAAGTTCTGCATACTTAGAGTAGTTATAGGTTGTAGGTACAGGCTACAATATGACCAAGGCTTGCACAACATCCTTAAAAGTATAATGCAGCCACCTTCCCCTCCCCTTTCATAGATGAAAAAACTGATGCTGAGAAAAATAATATGAATTTAAAGAGTCTTTAAAGTAAGAGAGCAAGATTCAACTCCAGATCTTTTTGGCCCCAACACCCATGTTATTTCTACTGTACCAAACTAACAGCCAAAAGTAATTTTACCAGCTCATGTAATCTTCTAAAGCCCTGCTGCTGGGTGTTTCACAAGCAGATTTTCGGTCAATCCATTTTGGTACTGACAAAGGCGGTGACTGCTTTGAAACTAAACAGGCAGGTTGCTCAAAGGTGGTTTGTTTCTGTTAAACCAAAATGAAAAGAAAAAAATCACCTCTAAAATAAAATAATAAAAACATGAAATACCAAAAAACACGCTAGAGTAAATAAACACATGTATTCCAGGCTTTCAATAACTTTGTAATATAGATTTTTCACTCTAAATTTCGAAGCCTGATATATTTTGCTCAAAGGGATCACAAGTAGAGGGTAGTTACACAGCACAGCTTTAACAAAACAGGGTCTAATACCCTTTCCCGACAAGTCTATTGTAAGCAGCACTGAGATTTTACAATCTAATTAAGTACCCTGCTAGTCTTCTAAAAACCAGTGTCTTTCTAATCAATGAAATCACTCCCTACTTTATATGTGAGGGCAAAATGGCCAAATACTAATTATTTAGCAAATTTGACACAGCAAATACTTATCTAGTGTTCTCCCTAGTAAGAGACATGTGGAATTTATCTCATATCAGTCCCAAAGCATGATAAATGAACATCCTCTACAGAAGAGATCATGGGCAAATTACAGCCTGAGGGCTGAATCTGGCCTGCCACGTGTCTTTGTAAATACAGTTTTAATGGAACACAGCTATGTCTACTTGTTTACATATTGTCTAAGGCTGTTTTCATGCTATAATGGCAGAGTTGGGGAATAACAACAGTGACCACCTGGTCTGCTTTTTTAAGATTTCCAACCCCTATTCTAATGTATCTCAACCAAATAATCACATTTTGTTTGAATATAATTAATTAGTAACTGCACACTCACTACTGCCTAAGGAGGTCCGCTACAATTTGGGGACAGCTTTCATTATTAGAAAGGTTTCACAGAAGTTTAGATTAAATCACTTTCTCTATTGTAATTTTTAACCTACTTGTCCACATTATGCTCTTGAGAGCCACAATGTATAAATCTCTTCTACTTTCTACATTTCTGTCCTTTAAGTTTCCAAGTTAGCAGGCATGGTCACTGTATCTCTTTTCCTGGATAAATATTCCATGTCATTTAAGATTTCCTCACATATATATTTGGAAAAATAGTCAGCATGGTACTGAACAACTGATGTAAGATGTAAGGCAGGGAAAATGTAAATATTATTGTCATGGAGTGGGATGTTTGCATTTGGGATTTTGGAGATTAGAATTAAGGATACAGAAATGGATAGCTAAGGTGAAATTAAGAGAATGGTCATAAGGGAGAAAGAAGTTATAAATTTGGGAGCCAGGTATAGGACTAATGATAGATAAGGCTATGAAACCAACAACAAAAAAAGATGATAGTTGTTGGTTTGAAGTAGATAGAAGTGATCCACAGCCTAATATCTTCAAGGAATTAATAGGGAGTCCACGGTATGTTCAAAGATGATAGCAATGAACAGGACAAAAGAAGAAATAATTTCGATACTGTAATGGGGACCTTTTAGCTCTAAGGTGAGATGCGAGGCAAAAACAACATCCGCTTGAGAAGTGGATTTTAATATTCACAAGAATGTGCAATCATCACCACTATTTAGTTACGGACCACTTTCACTATCTTAGAAAGAAACTCCAGCCCTAAGTAGCGTGCCTCAGTGGGTTAGGCATTGGCCCGCGAAGCAACAGGATGAGAGTTCAGTTCCTGGTCACAGCACAAGCCTGGGTTACAGGCCAGGTCCTGGGTTGGGGGCAAACAAGAGGCAACCTATTGATGTTTCTCTCCCTCTCTTTCTCCTACCCTTCCCCTTTCTCTGAAAATGAACAACAAAATCTTACAGAGAGAGAGAGAGGAGGGAGAGAGAGAGAAAGAAACTCTGAACCATTAGCATTCACGCCCATTCTCCACTCCTCCCAGTCTGTGTGGCAACCACTAATCTACCTTTTATCTACGTGGATTTGCCTATTCTGAACATTTTTCTTACACTTAGTATGTGTTCAAGGTTCATCCATGTTATAGCATTTATAATTACTTATTTTTTATTGTTGAAAAATAAAAAATAATAAAATTAGAATACCACAACTTGGTTATTCACTCTCTACTTGATGGATATTTGGGTTATTTCCACCTTTAGGTAATTATGAATAAAGCTGCTATGAACATTCATGTAAAAATTTATAAATATATATATTTTGTTTCCTTGAGTATATATACCTAAGAGTGGAACTCTGGATCATATGGTAATTCTGTGTTTAACCTCTTGAGGAACTGCCATACCATTTTGCAAGTGACTGCACCATTTTACATTCTTACCAACAGTATATACGGGTTCCACATCTTCATCAACACTTGTTATTGTCTCTTTTTAATGATAGCCGTGTTAGTGGGTATAAAGTAGTATCTCAGTGTGGTTTTGATGTGCATTTCCCTAATGACAATTAAATGGTTTTGAGTTCCTTTATTATACTATTGACTTACAGGTTTAAGAAAAAAAGAGATGCTGTTTAATATAATCCATGATTCAACCTGTTAGGATTCTTTTCATCTAACATTGACTATCCACGTCATCACTTACGTAGGTTGATGGTTCTCAAAGAGTAATCCAGGAAAAGCCAAAAAAAGGGTGGTCCCAAGATCTTTTCGGGAAGTCTCAGAGTTTAAAACAATCTTCCTCAACATACTGAGACATTATTTGCCTTTTGCACTTTCATTCTTTCATAAGTATACACTGGAGTTTACTCAAGGCTATAGAACATATGCTAGTAAAAGATTAATGCAAAGGCAGATACGAGAAATCTGGTTTTCTGTTAAGCCAACCACTAAATTAATTGTAAAACAATGTCACTCTTCTCACTATAATTTTGTTTCAAAAATACCTATTTTTCAGAGAGAATGTAACTCAACATAATAAAGGCCATATATGACAAGCCCACAGATAACATCATACTCAAAGGAAAAAAATAGTCACTCTTTGGAGATGACATGGTATTATATATAGAAAACCCTAAAGATTCCACCAAAAGGCTGTTAGAACTAACAAAGTCAGTAAAGTTTCAAAATACAAAATCTATATGCAAAAATCTGTTGCATTTCTTAAAAATTAATAATGATCTATCAGAAAAAATTAAAAACAATCCCACTTATGGTTAAATAAAAAAGAATACCATACCTAGGAATAAATTTAACCAACGTGATAGAAGTGTATACTGAAAATTATAAGACACTAATGAAAAAATTGAAAAAGATACAAATAAAGATAGTGCATGCTCATTAAGTTGAAAAATCAATACTGTTAAAATACCCATAATATCCAAACCAATCTACATTTAATGAAATCCCTATTGAAATTCTGATGACATTTGTATAAAACTATAAAAAACTCCAAACAGCCAAAACAATCTTGAGAAAGAAGAACAAAGCTGGAGGCATCACAACCCTGATTTCAAACTATATTACAAAGCTATTGTAATAAAAAAAGTATGGTAATGGCATACACATACACAGACCACAGGAACACAACAGAGTACAGAAATAAACTCAGAAATACATGGTCAATTAATTTACATCAAAAGGGGCCAAGAATATACTGAACATAACAGGGAAGGAAGAGTGTCTTTAGTAAATGAACTTGGGAAAACTAGACAGCTACATGAAAAACAAGAAAGTGAACCACTATCATACACCATAACACAAAAATTAACTCAAAATCAATTAAACAGTTGCATGCAGGATCTGAAATCATACAACTTTTAAAAGAAAACATAGGCAGTAAGCTCCCTGACATGGGTCTTGGTTATGATTTTTTGTATCTGACACCAAAAGCAGACAACAGAAACAAAAATAAGTGAGACTGCAACAAACCAAAAGGTTTCTGCACAGAAAACAAAGTGGATTTTGTTGTCCACTAACAACAAAATGAAAGGGCAATCTAAAGAATGGAAAAAAATATTTGCAAATCATATATTGATAAAGGGCAAACACCCAAAATATATATTTAAAAACTCATATAAACTCAAGAGTAAAATAACCATCATCACCACCACCAACATCATCATCTGGTTAAAAAAATGGGCAAAAGATCTGAACAAACTTTTTTCCAAAGAAGACATACAGATGACCAATGGACATATGAAAAGATGCTCAACATCAATCATCAGGGAAAAGCAATAAAAACAACAATGAGATCTCCTCACACCTGTTAGAATGACTATTATCAAAAATGCAAGAAATATGAGTGTTTTGTGGAGAAAAGGTAACCCTTGTACACTGTTAGTGGGAATACAGCCACTGTGGAAAATAATATAGAAAAATTAAAAACATCTACTATGTGACCCAGCAATTCCACTTCTGTGTATTTATCTGAAGAAAATGGAAACACTAACCTAAAAAGATAGTATGCACACTCATGTTCATGGTCACTGCAGCATTATTCACAATGATCAAGATATGGAAAAAACACAAAGTATCCATTGATGGATAAATGAATAAAAAAAATGTAATATAGGAGTACATGCACAATGGAGTATTATTCAGCCAAAAGAATAAAATGTTGACATTTGTGACAACACAGATGGACCTGAGGACATCGTGGTAAATGAAATATGTCAGACACAGAAAGATAAATACTACATAGTATCACTTATATGTAAAATCTTAGCCCTGGCTGGTATGGCTCAATTGGTTGGACCATTGTCCTGTAAATCAAAAGGCCAGGGGTTGGATTCCCAGTCACAGCACATACCTCCTAGGTTGTGGGTTTGGTCCCCCATCAGGGTGCATGTGAGAGGCAACCAAATGATGTTCTCTCCCCCTCCCTCTCCCTCGCTCTCAAATTAATAATCAATAAGCATGTCCTCAGGTAAGGATTTTTAAAAAAACTTTAAAAATTATGCCCTGGCTGGAGTAGCTCAGTGGATTCAGCGTGGGCCTGCGAACTAAGGGATCGCGGTTTGATTCCCAGTCAGGGCACGTGCCTGGGTTGTAGGCCAGTTCCCAGCAGAGGACACAAGAGAGGCAACCATCCATTGATATTTCTCTCCCTCTCTCCTTCCCTTCCCCTCTAAAGATAAATGAATAAAATCCTAAAAAAAAAAAAACTTTAAAAATTAAGTCACGGGGATGTAACAAATAGCCTGGTGACAATAGTTAATAATACTGTATTGCATATTTGAAAGTTGTTATGTGAGTATATCTTCAAGTTCTCATTGCCAGATAGAAAAATTTTGTAGTTATATGTGGTGACAAGCATTAATGAGATTTATTATGGCGATCAATTCATGATATACACAAATATAAAATCATTATGTTGTACACCTGAGACTAATATGTTATATACCAATTATACCTCAATAATACAAAATACTTGGTTTTCATAGAAGTGTATCTATATTCACATGTAATGGGTATATTGTTGTTTTTAATATATTAATAAATATTTAAAAAAATTATTGGTTTTACTTTCTAATACAGATAAATACAATCTATGTAAACAAAAGCTCTTTAGGTAGCTCGATAATTAAGTAGGTAAAAAAGAGGGTCTCAAGGCCCAAATATTTGAGAACTATTGAGTTAGAACATAACTGAAAACAAATAGTGATAAAAAGTAGAGCCATGGACTAAAATAGGTATGACTCTCCAGTAGTCTACCAGACCATTCCTTCTGAAACGGCCCCTAGCCACTGTTACAAGTTCACATGCATTGTCTAGTCTTATGTTTTCTACTCCATCCATGAGGATGACAACAGGAAATTGTCAAATGCTTTGATACGCACTGCACTAGAGCAAAGATCAGCATACTGTTTTCTATAAAGGGCAATACAGTAAACATTTTAGGACTTAGAGACTTGATCTCTGTTGCAACTACTCAACTCTGCTGTTACAGTTTGAAAGTAGCCACAGATATAAGTAAATTGAACTGGCATGTTTGTGTTCAAATAAAACATCATTTTGCACACACAGGCTGGGAAACAGATTTGACCCACAGGCTGTAGTTTGCTGATCCCTATACCAGTCCACCAGTAATCCAGAAACACTACTGAAAATAGAACAGAATAAAATAAACAGAAAAGACTTCAACCTGACATACTCTCTTACGGAAACTATAACTGTTACTGAACACTGTTTAGTGAATAATAAAACATTAAGTAAACTATTCCACTAAATATGGTGCATAAGAATTTAACAAAGTAAGAAAATATTTAACGTGATCCTCACATTTTGAACAATGGCATGTTACATGAGAGGAAAAGAAAGTTACCTCTGTATCAGCTTTTCGGGTTATCTCTGGAATCTGCCATTGATCTGAAGAAGCAGCAGGGTTCTGGCTTGCACATTTTGACCTTTTCTTAGATTGCCATTGTTTCTGGTTACTTTCTGGAACCTTTGGTTCTTGATCTTCTTTAGGTTCTGAAATTGTTGTTATTGTCATTAAAACGCAAGAATATTTTATAATAACAAAACTAGACCTAAACACTAGAACATGCTGCAAACAATTAGCATTTTGCTTTTAAAAATGAAGAGTGGAACCAAAAACTTTAGGCCAGTTGTTGACAAGTTGCTTACAGCAAGCCAATTTCACAAACCTGCAACACGGCCATCTTAAGTACTCACTTAGGGTTTTATTATCGGAGAGCATTCTGAATTTAAATTTTTCTGGTCTTTGCTAGAAAGCAAGTAAATAAGTAAAAATTAAAAAACACATGTTATAAAGTTTTACTAATAAAGATAAGCTAAGTCACCATTTTTACAGACTTCTACTTTTTATCAAATACTTTATCATAAACTGGCTTGCGATTTACTTTAAGGGTCCCTGAACAAAAGTGTCTCAACAGGCCCAACAGCCTGTGCACCCGAGGGGCAGCTTCACACCACATTGGAGCACATCCACCTGACCACCTCCACAAATGACATAGTCAAAGGGTGAACTTAGCGGACACCAGAGCCCTGCTGAAGTAAGTCCTGCTGTGTGGCGTGGGCCCCTGCACAGCTGATCCTCCACAGTGGGCATAGGTTGGTGGTCAGTGGTCACAGCCAGTCCTTACAGCTGACTGGCCTGGGTAAGCCACTCCCACTGATGTGCCAACAACAATCAAGGCTCAACTATCAGAGCAGGGTATGCACAGCCCACACAGTGGGCACTCCCCAGCTTGGGAGGTAAGGGAGGCTGGACCCTACAGGGCACTTACTACATTAGGCCACTCTTCCAAGCTAGGGAGTCACAAGAGTTCTATCTCATACATAGAAACAAACACAGAGAGGCTGCCAAAATGAGGAAACAAGATGTACGGTTCAAAACATGACTATAAGAATGCTCAGTGAACTCAGTGAGAACTTTAACAGCATAAAAAAGGGCGTGAAAACCATAAAAAAGGAACCAGTCAGAAATGAAGGATACACTAATTGAAATGAAGAACAATTTACAAAGAATCAACAGTAAGTGTGGATGAAGCCAGGAATCAAATAAGCAATTTAGAATATAAGAAAGCAAAAAATACCCAATCAGAAAAACAAGAAGAAAAAGTAATCCAAAAAAATGAGGATAGTGTAAGGAGCCTCTGGAACAACTTCAAGCATACCAACCTGATAGTGCTGAAAAAAGAAGAGAGCAAGAAATTGAAAAACTACTTGAAAAAAAACGACAGAAATCTTCCCTAACTTGGTGAAGGTAACAGACATACAAGTCCAGGAAGCTCAGAGTCCCAAACATAATGGATGCAAAGAGGCCCAACCAAGACACATCATAATTAAAATGCAAAACAAAGAATTTTAAAAGAAGTAAAAGAGAAATTCCCGGCTGGTGTAGCTCAGTGGATTGAGCACGAGCCTGCAAACCAAAGAACCGTGGTTCAATTACCAGTCAGGGCATCGGCCTGGGTTGCAGGCCAGTTCCCAGCAGGGAAGGCACCAGAGGCAACCATACATTGATATTTCTCTCCTTCCCTTCCCCTCTAAAGATAAAAAAATAAAACCTTCAAAAAAATAAAGAAAAGAAATTAGTTACCTATAAGGGAGCTCCCAGAAGACTGTCAGCTGATTTCTCAAAAGAAATTTTGCAGGCCAGAAGGAATTTGTAATATTCAAAGTGATGAAAAACAAGGCCTTACAACCAAGATTACTCTCCCAGCAAAGCTATTATTTAGAATCAAAGGACATATAAAGAACTTTCAGACAAAGAAAAGCTAAAGGAGTTCAGCATCACCAAAACAATATTATATAAAATATAAAGGATCTCCTTTAAGACCAAAATATGAACAACAAAATAGCAACAAACATATACCTATCAACAACTGAATCTAAAAAACAATATTAACAAACAGAACAGAAATGGAATCACAGATACAGAGGGCGGGGAGTTGGCAGATGGGAGAATAAGGTGAAGGGATTAAGAAGTACAGGTTGGTTGTTAACAGAATAGCCGTGTAAAATAAAGTACAGCATAGGAAATACCATAGCCAAAGAATGTATGTGCACGACCCATGGACAATGGTAAGGGATCCTTACAGGTGGAGGAGGGAAAAGGGGAAATTGGAACAACTGTAACAGCATAAGCAATAAAATACAATTTAAATAAAAAGAACAAAAAAACAAGAGCCTCAACAATATATTTACTATTCTATGAATATCAATATTCCATCTATCACAATAGATGAAAAATCTTAAACAAAATATTTTCAATTTATATACAAAATAATATAAATTATGACCAAGTTGTATATATTCTTAAATGTAAAGTTTGCTTACTATTTGAAAATCAATTTGTCATAAAAGAATAGAGAAGAAAAAATATGACCAACTCAGTCCTGGCTGGTGTGGCTCAGTGGGTTGAGCAGCAGTTTGCAAAACAAAAGGTTGTGGGATCAATTCCTAGTCAGGGCACATGCCAGGGCTACAGGCCAGGTCCCCAGTTGAGGGTGTGGAGGAGAAAAGTGATTGATGTGTGAACATCAATGTTTCTCTCCTTCTCTCCTTTCTTCTCTCTAAAAAATAAATTTTTTTGAAAAAAATAGGATCAACACAATGAACACAGAAGAACTTGAGATTTCAACGCCCACTTACAAAAAACTCATAATAATCTAGGTATAAAGCAAAACTCATGCTTCTGATACTTGATAAAGAGCAGCTACAAAAGTCTACAGCAATTATCATATAAGGGTAAAATACTGAAAACTTCCCTCTAAACTATGGCATGAGAAAAGACTGCCACATGTCATCCCTTCTATTCACCACTATACTTAAGATGTTAAGTGCACTACAGCAAAGAAAGGAAATGAAAATGAAAAGACTTAGAAGGAAAAAAAATGTTATATTATTTTCAAATGACATGAAAGAATCCATGATAAAATATTAAAATTATTCAATGAATTTAATAATGTCACTGCATCTAAGATCAATAACTAAAATCAGTTGTATTTGTATATATCAGCAACAAAGAAAAAAAGGATATAACTTTTTTTTTAAGATCCCATCCATTACAGCATCAAAAGCTGTCAAATATTTAGGAATAACTCTAGCAAAAGATAACCAAAATCTCTACAGAGAAAATGATGCTCTCGATATTTTAAAGACTACTTAAATGAATGCTAGGTTAGTAGAGTACAAAGTTTACCTGTTAAGATATGAGCTTGTCCCATTAGGTCTCAATCAAAATCCCATTTTTAAAAAATGTAGTTTGGCCCTGGCTGGTGTAGCTCAGTGGATTGAGTGCTGGCCTGAGAACCAAAGGGTCGACAGTTGATTCCCAGTCAGGGCACATGCTTGGGTTGTGGGCCAGGTCAGCAGTATGGGGCATGCAAGAGGCAACCACACATTGATACTTCTTACCCTCTTTCTCCCTCCCCCTCTGTCTAAAACAAATAAACAAAATCTTTTTAAAAAATGTAATCTGATAGACTGTATGTTTATATGGAAATCAAAAAAGCTCAGAATAGCTAACATAGTCTTGAAGAACAAAGTTGGGAGATTTACACTGATATGAAGAATCGAAACTGGAAGTCTTTCCAACAGATATGAAGACTTACTGCAGTAATTAGAACAGCAGAGTATTAGCACAGATAGACAAAAAGAACTGCGGAACAGAGAAGAATCCAAATCCACACACCACACACAGAATCACCTAATTTACAACAATTCAGTGAGGGAAAAGAGGGTCTTTTCAACAAACACCAATGGATCAACTGGCTATACACAGGGGAAAAGGATCTTGACATTTGATCTTCCATAAAATTTATGATCTTAGAGAAAGAAAAGATTTGTTTAAAGACATAGAAAACATTTATTCCAAAAGAAAAGAATAATAAAATGCATAATAATTATGAACTTCTTTTCATCAAAAGTCTTCACCACATAACGGGAGAAGTCACTTGTAATATATACATCCAACAGAAGGATCTGTATTTAAATGATATAATATCTCCTAAAAATCAATAAGAAAAAAACCAACAGAAAAACTGGCAACAGACTCCAACACATGCTTCACAAGAGGATATCCAAATAACCAATAAACAATCAAAAAGATGTTCAACATCATCAGACATCAAGGAAATGCAAATTAAAACCACAAAGAGATAATATTTAGCAGCATCAGAACATCTAAAACTAAAACCCAATAATAAAACGACTGAAGAATATGTAGCAAGTGCAATATAAGTAACTGCTGGTCAAAGGTCCACCCACTCTGGGACATTGCTGGGCACTCTACTAAAGGTAAACGTATACACATCTGGTGACCCAGCAACATCACCCTTTGAATACATTACACAGAAATAAGTATGAATGAAACATTGCATTGTCTATACTCTTATGACTTGGGCAATTTTTATAATTAGAAGTTTTACTATACAATAAGTATTATCAGTATGTCTTCATTTTAAAACATTAAATGAGGTGTCAGATTAGTACTTAATCACATGAGTTTATAGTAGATGCCATGAAAGTATAAAATCGAACAGTTTTTCCCAAATACTAGGATTAAGGATCTATTCCCAATCAAAACAATAGCAAAAAGACTATTGTAGGATGACAACCATCTCAGTTTGCTGGGGACTGAGGGCTTTCCTGACACATGGGACTTTCAGGGCTAAACCAGGCAAGTCTGGGATAAACCCAAATGAATCCAGAGCAAGCCTAGTTTTGTCCCAGTACCCCTCCTCAGTCCATGAAAAAAAAAATACATCCAATCTAACAACCTGTGTTTGGACAATGATCATCCATTTAATTGACCCTGCTCAAAAATCTTTAATGGTACTCTGACATCTAAAATAAAAAATTTAAGCCAGCTGTTTGAGGTTTACCAAGTCTTACCTTGCATTTTTTCTACACTACCTGTATTAAAGATTTCAGCATAACTAGACTGTCTTTAGTTTCTAAAATGTTTTATTCTTTTGCATATGCTATTCCCTCCATCTGAAATACTGTCACTGCTATTCCTTCCTATTTATTAACCCCTAATAGTTTTTCTCATTTCTTCTCTTCCACAAAGTATTAACCTTATTTCCCCTAAATTAGTTTTTCAAATTCTCCTCCCTCTGAATTCTCATAGCATTTTATTTACGTGGTTCTCATGACACACTCTACATTCTACCCAGTATTATATATAGCGATAAATCTACATTGGATGACAGCTTCCTTGGGTCTCTGGCTTATTCATTTGCATATCCTTAGAGCATTTATCATAATAGTCACATAGTGGAAAACTAAATGTCTGATTAAAGAGGAAAAGGAGAAGTGTCATATAAATACAGCTTCTGTGTCCTTTCCAGAAAGTATTTCTCAAGCCGATTGAGAAGAATAACTCAGCTCCATGGTACTTTCCATACACTCTTTCTTTTATGCATCTTTTAGGTAAATAAAACTTCCTTTGCTACAGAATTCAATGTCTTTTATATACTCTTTATAATTCAACTGAAATACAAGATAGAAGAAGGGACAAAGTCTTATATTACAGATCTTAGGTGGCTGGTTAGCATTCTCTAGCAACAAAATGATTTTCTTAAAAAAGTCTTACCTTCTTCTAATTTTCTTAGAAAACTTGATTCAATTTTATTCTTCACAGTTACTGAATCAGTAATAACTTCTGAACTTTTCTCATCTGACACCAGAGGTTCCTTGGAGTGGATATTTTGAATAGACTATATGAAAATAAGATACCAATAATAAAAGTCTCATGAACAGTAGTACTTATTTGCCTTAGTGTTCAATGTACTAAAGTCTCATCTATGTGAAAACACTGCTAGAAAAATTATCAACTTTAATCACATGTAGACTCACAAACTCTAGGCAAAAATTTCTTGAATTACTGACTAGAGTAATAGTAATAACCATAACCATAAACTTGGCCAATTTGCTTTTAATGGGCATATTACATCTGCTAGAATATATTTACTTAAAAAGTGAGGTTAGAAAGTCTGAATCCAACATAAAACACACCTAATTATTTTGTTACTATGATCATGTTTTATCACTAAAAATAAGAGCATTATTCAAAATTAAGATTTGTGTGAGCCTAAGTCAACAGTTATTCTAAATCCAGAAAGTAAAATTTTAGGAAAAACTATGCATTTCCTCTAAGATAGTTGTGATTAGTTAAAATAATTATTTTAAAGCACAGAACATGAGATGAATTATGTACAATTGAAGAAACCCTCGCTATAACACCAGGGGGTCTAACTCACATACAGTAAGAATAGTACAACACCTAAAAATCAGTGTATCAGAGACTGAAACGTTCCTGGTCTGCCAGAATCATATGTCCTGCCAGATCATATGATTCAACATACCAAGAAACTAAAGCTGGGGGAAATGACTCCCCCAGCTATTACCAAACCCAGGCCACCGAGTCTACTTAAGCACATGTGTAAGACGAATTACTTCGTTTACCCCAGGAGATGATTGAGCTCCACCACCTCGGTCTTGCAGAGAGAGTTTAGGACTTCTGTACCACTTTCCAGTAGTGGTCCTACATCTCTTGGGACTTCAGGGACACCGTTAAAGATACCGTATGAACTATGGGTTGACTTTCACAGAAAAAGCCCCATGAAAGCTGGCTTAAAAACCCTCACTCCATATAAAAATTCAAAAACAGAGCCCTGGCTGGTGTAGCTCAGTGGACTGAGTGTGGGCTGCGAACCAAAGCGTCGCTGGTTCGATTCCCAATCAGGGACCATGCCTGGGTTGTGGGCCAGGTCACCAGTGGGGGCCACATGAGAGGCAACCACGCACTGATATTTCTCCCTCTCTCTTTCTCTCTCCCTTCCCCTCTCCCTAAAAATAAATAAATAAAAATAAAGCCTTAAAAAATTTTCAAAAATAGAAATACCTTTAAATTTCTCAATTCAGAGGAATCATTTCCACTCGGTTTAGATTCAGGCACAACCACTTCTCGGCATTCTGTTCTAGAAGTCCGTCTATTACCCATAAAACAAAATAATTTTAACATTTAATTTGAATTAATCTTTTCAGTATATTATTTTTTCTATTTTAAAGTCGACTTTTTAACTATACTTTTTTTAAACAGAAAAAATCTCTTGAAAAGTTATTTCAGAAAATAACATGATTCTAGCACAAATGTGATTTGGGTGCTCAGCGATGACAGAAACTATGGAGGTTAGTAGGTGACTATGTTCTTCATTATGTAATAAGTAACGATGGCAATTAGGGTGTAACTGTGGGAAAGGAGAAGGGAACAGCAATGTGTAAGTGAAGCTACACTTCAGACTGCAAATAGTTTAAGGATAAGAACTAGACTATACACCCTTCTGTGGGCCGCCATGGAGCCTAGCATGGTCTATCATAATAGGCAAAAAAAAAATGCCCAGTGTTTTTCTTTTTATTTTCTTAGAGTGTGAGAAACTCTTCTTTATTCTTCAGTTAGGTATTTAAAATGAACATGTTAAGATAATAATTATAACATTTCAGAGCTTAACCTGACAACCAAAATGCTCTTTTAATATTAATACACACTTCAGCCTATAGATAACAGGCACTTAAGTGTAGAAGATGCCAATTAAAAACAATCATTTGTGCTTCTTTCTTTTTTTAAGAGTTTACGTATTTATTTTTAAAGAGAGGGGAAGGGATGCAAAGAGAGGAACATCAGCGTGGTTGCCTCTTGTGTGCCCCCTACTATGGATCTGGCCTGCAACCCAGGCATGTGTCCTGATTGGGAATTGAATCAAAAATCCCTTGGTTCGCAGGTTGGCACTCAGTCCACTGAGCCACATCAGCCAGGGCTCATTTGTGTTTCTAAAGTTTACTTGCTAAATGGTTCTCTAGAATCCAAGGAGACTATTCCAACAGAAATAATTTTATGTAGTGATTACAATTAGCAATAGGCCAGAAAAATGCCATTAGCTAAAGTGGAACACTATATTCCCATTTGTTTTATGGGAATAAACACTTAAGCTGAAGGAAGGAGAACACATCGGTTGTAATAAACAACACTGTATCTCTACCTACTCTGCCTCACTTCTTGAGGTCCTAGCCTCTGAAACCAATGAACAGATCCATCAGCCTTTCCACTGATAGCCGCTCTTCTTCTTCAGCTAGCTGGAAAAGAATTGTGCCCAGACCCCCTTCACCCTTGCTATGGGGACGTCTACAGATGCACCAAGAAGGAACTTTTAACAGAGAGACGACCAATTTAAGTGAGAAATGTCCAAACAACAGTTTGGGTACAGTTTGTGCAGAGGGTACGTCTGCACAGTCTTTTAAGTTTCAGGTTGTCTTAATGCTTTTTCCTCCACGTTTCCTATTTTTTAATAGTTCCTTTAGTGAGTACTTTTAATGAGTAAAAAGCAAAATAAAGTCAAATCCCCCATTCATTTCTTTATCCCTGACATTTACAGACTTGGTAACCTTTAATACTAAATAAAAATTTAATTGTTATTACTATTAAGCAGTAAAAGACTTTAAAACCATTCTGCCATCAATATGCAAACACTGAAAACAAATTAAAAAATTAAAACCCAAACATACCTTTTTGTAAAACTTGGTACAAGTGGACCGTCAGTCTCCTCATGACAATCCGGGCTATTGAGAAGGTTAACTGGGACTCTTCCAAATGGGCATGACTGAAAATGTTTAGAAAGATTAAGTGACCAAGGAGGAAATAAAAACCTCACCATTACCACCTTAATCAAAATAGATTAACTTACCCGTTTAGCTTTGTTTGTTTGTTTTAAGGGATTTCGATGACTTATGTCTGCATCTTGAGGGGGCACATTCTCTCTAAACAGAAGAAAATACCCTCAATTTTTAAAAGAATAATGTTAACATACGCATTTCCACTACCTGCTAAACACTGTTATCACTCTGACGTGAAAATATGTGTGTTAACACACACGGGTTCAATTTCCTCACCCATACGGAAACCCGGCCTTCGCGGTCTGTCCTCTGGAATCACAGCTGATGTTCCTGCTCCGTAAATGTCCAAGTGAACTGGGGAACGATTCCTGGGTACTTAAAACTGTAGCTGTTGTAAAATTTTTGATATTGTGATTAAATTTGTAAAGACATAAGGAATACACAAAAAGTAATTTCATAAATAAGAATACTTATGGTCAATTCATAGACCTGTCCCTAAACAAGATATGCAGACTTAAAGATGTTCTCAAGATAATTGTCTAACTATATTTAGTAACAGTTTCATAATTACATAATTGTTTCCCCAGATTAAAGGCACATGCCCCATTTTTTAAAAAGCAAAAAGTGGTTGTCCTGCTTAGACTGAATTACTTTTTATGTGTTTCCAGTGAAAGTGTGATCAACAACAAACTATCCAACATAATAATAAAGATGTTACTTCTAAATGACTCACCTCCTTTAAATATGAAATTTAAACTTAGATTGTGCCCATTCTACATAAATGATATTTTTCTATAAAATAGTATCCTTAATCTTCTTTCACAGATAATCAACCACAGAAAAGTATTAGCACACACTAGTATGTTTACCTGATAAACTCTTTTTTTCCTCCTCTGAAAGCAGCTGCTTTTTTTGGAGGTTTAAATTCTGAATGGCAATTTCCAGCATTTGTAGTGGGACTGCTCCACATTCTACAGCTTTTTGAAGAAGTTGTTTACTTTTTTTGAAATTACCTAACAAAGTAAAAATTAACAATTATTTTAATGTAGCCATCTTCACTCTCCAGATTCATATTCTTCAGGACCTTGAAAAAAATTTAAAAGCCTTAGGCAAAAATACTCATTCCAAGGCTCTTGAGCTGTACTTCATAAGCAAATAAGCAGCCACAGTTCTGATAAACAATTCACCTCAAATAGTGTACTTGCGTAATATGTAATTGATGTATTTATGCATTCGTGTATTACCAATGTCCATTTTCAGATGTACAAGTATAACAAAGCAGTTACAAAGTGGAGACACTAAAGGCCAACAAAAACACTTAGGGCCCTCAAGGAAATTAGTAAAAGGAAAAAGTAGGTCCTAGACGCTGTGACAGACCCAAGAGCATCAATCTATTACAATGCAGTACAGTAATTATCACTCACAATGACATTCAGTCATTAAGGTTGACATCTTTTGCTAAAGGAAATCCTCCATCGAAAGGATTCTTGTAAAAAAAATTGCAATGATAAACATTAATCTTTACCTATCAGACTTAGCTACACCACTCTCAAAATGTAAAAATAATTACCCTAATTACCTTTCTAATGACAGATAAATTACCAAACTTTTCTTCAATTGCAAACTTACCCAATTTATTTAGTCTACTATTTTGTTATAAGTGGTAAAAAATATATATCATGTATCTTATAGAATATGTTATCAACATTTACAGGAGCTACGCTATGAACTTGGCACTTAGGGTATAAAAATGATTAAGAGATGTCCTCTAGCTTCAGACAATTTACAAGCTTTAAGAATATAAATATATTTGACAGTGGTTACTAAGTCTATATCTATTAACAGCGGTGATAAAATTTCATATATTGAACATTTTAGCACAGCAAAGAAAAAAGCTTAGATAACCAGTAATTAGGCAGCTTATAGACTTCAATGACAATCTGATAAAACCATGGAATGTCCTCCCCCCACAAACATACACACCAAACTACACATAAGATTTTAAAGGTGTTGTATATTTCCCGAAAGCCTATTCATCAACCCTATGCAAAATAATTTTTCAAAAGATTTTATTTATTTATCTTTAGAGGGGAAGGGAAAGAGAGAGGGAGAGAAATATCAATGTATGGTTGCCTTTCATGCATCCCCTGCAGGGAACTGGCCTGCAACCAGTCAGGCATGTGCCCTGACTGGGAATTGAACCGCGATCGTGTGGTTTACAGGCCTGTGCTCAATCCACTGAGCTACACCAGCCAAGGCTTCAAAATAATTTTTTTTAAATATTTTATTTATTTATCTTTAGAGGGAAAGGGAAGGAGAGAGGGAGAGAAACATCAATGTATGGTTGCCTTTCGTGCATCCCCTGCTGGAAACTGGCCTGCAGGGAACCGGCCTGCAACCCAGGAATGTGCCCTGACTGAGAATCGAACCGCGATCGTCTGGTTCACAGGCCCGAGCTCAATCCACTGAGCTACACCAGCCAGGGCTCAAAATAATTTTTGAATACAGTTTTGACCTTGAGGTTACTACATTGCAGTGGTACAGATAAAGTGCATTTCTTTTTCACATACCACAGTTTGAGATTTTCAATATCTGTGTATTCTAAAGATGTACAGTTTATAGTTGCTATTGATAAGCCATACCACAAAAAAATCTTTAGATGGAAGGAAAGATAAAGGGTCTAAAAGGCCCAGCCAAACTTATTTTAACAAGCAAGGAGTTGGTATAATGCTCTTCTCCAACCTCAACCCTAGAGAATACTCTCCAGTTACTGAGCCCCAATTTGAGCACCATCATGGGGGTTTTGGCCAAGTGAAACCAGAGTGATAATGTGTGTACCTGGTGGTAAATGGGACCTGGAATGCAGCAGAAAGAAGTATGAGGGGAAAACAGGAACATGTGACCAAGAGGACAGACTGAGGGTAGATTCAGAGGCCCCAGAAAATGAGAAAGAGAGAAGACTAAGAATGGCCAGGCGAAAAAATCTCTGAGGAAGAGATTGGTCTGATCCTGTCCAAAAAGTGCAGAACAAGAACCTGGTGAGCAAGAAATAAAAGCTTCTACCACAGTTTACTTGTGCCTCCTCAGAGGGGAACCACCAATTAATGCTAAATTATATTCTGATGTGCATTTCAGTGCTATGAAATCAGAGCATAAAAAAGCTTGTCTAAGCTCTAGCTTAAATATCTTATCTCCTTCATTCCACAAATACTCAGTGAAGAAGCTACTCTCCTTCAGACTGTTTCTGAATCTAACTAAGCACGGACATGATGTTCATGCTTATTTCCTTGCATTCCTCTCTACAAGTGGAAGAGTTAGTATAACAAGTATTCTCTGCATTTCCACTTAGGTGGGATTCTTACCCCACGATATTATCTCATCAACTTTTCTGTCTTTTCCTGTCTCAAATTACCACTTCATAGATGATTTAATATTAGGATATGAGTTACAAAGGAAGTTATCTTTTACTTAAAATTGGGACTTGATATTTCAAGTTACCTTGTGATAGTTCAAACTGTGCAAAAGATATATGCACAAAAGCGAACTTCTTGCAGTTTGCTCTGGCCATCTGAAAGTAGTCACGTGCATCATCCGGCTCTTGAATACTGCAACAAAGATTTCAGAGTCAAATTTTAAGAAAAAGGGCACAGCTACCGAAGTTTTATAATTCTTCATTTTATTTTCCAAGAGACATAGGGTATTGTTTTGTATGTGTGTAAAATTGAATACTATCAGGGTTATTTAAAAAAATCTTTCAAGACAGAGCCAAGAATAGGGAAGTTGTGGAGATATATACATAGTAAAGAGAGTTTACCTCATTCCCTTTGCTGATTATAAACAGAAGAGTCTGGTCAAAAATATTAATTTTCTTACAAGTAATCCTGACTTGTTTTCATTTTACCTTTTTGTAATATAGTTATGTAATGCAGTTAAAATACTAATACTTACGCTTTTAATTCAGCAAATCTCACTTGAATTCGAGCAAAACTCTCATTTTGGCCATATTTATCTGGAGGAAGTGCTTCAATTGCTTGACTGTAACGACCAATCAATTTATTTAAAAGGGCGTCATTTAGGGGGACACTATTTTTCTCTAGTTTGAGCAACAAATTCAACCAGTCCTCTGGGTTGTTCGCCATCATCATAATTTGGTTAACAGTTCCTGAATTATCTGAATAAAGGAAACAAAATATGCCATAATAACAGTAAGACATAAAAATAAATGCCATATTGCACTTTCCTGTCAAATTATAGTTACACTCTCAATATCAACATACATAACTTCTTTAAAATACTTTTTTAAAAATTTAACATTTGTGTAAATATATGCAACTTATTTACTGCATAGGTATCTTTTATCAGGCTATGTTTTACTCTAAAGAGTTATATATTTTGAAGGAAAAAATTTGGAAATAACTTATATAAGTAGCTTTAAAAAACCATATGTAGTCTAAAAATATTTTACGCTGTAACAACATAATTCTATTTCAGTATCCTAACTATTCAAAGAAAACCTAACGTTTTCCTACCACTGCTTGCATCAACTTTCTTAAGAAAATTCATTAGTGACTTATTCATTAAAAACTTAGAAACTTATTACTCCATTCCTATCATAAAATTTTTATCCAACATTATCTCCACATAACCCAAACTTATTTTTTAAACCAACCAAACAAAAGCAGTTTACAAAAGATAAGCAACTAATATGGTTTTCTTCTCCCTCCAAGTTACTCATATTTCTCCATAATTTTCTTTTCAATTAATTTATTTTTTAGAGAGGGCAAGAGAGGGAGAGAAACATCAACGCGCCCCCTACTGTGGCCTGGCCTACAACCCAGGCACGCCAGCCCCCAATCCACTGAGGAATGCCAGGCAGGGCTGATTAAGTTGTCAGAGAAACTCTTCTCAGAGAAACTATCATTCCTTCCACCAGTTTCAGTTACATCCTCCTATTTACGATATTTTAGTCATTACTAAATATGATTAAGTTCTTATTTCTCAGAGAAACTATCATTTCTTCCATCGGTTTCAGCCACCTTCGACAAGGACTAAATCTTTACTTTTGCAAACAAAATGACTGTTTTTACGTGCTACTAAAACATAGTACATTCATAACTTTGCTTTCTTATCTCACATTTAATCTAGCCTGACCTTAACTTCATTTTCGGTTTTACCACCCATTGTTTTCCTAATGAATTAGTCTGTAAGATGTCTAAAAAAGTGTCTTTACAGATATATTCTTCATGCCTCTGGATACCCCATTCTCCTCTATTCAGCAATTGAAGCATTGTGTTTATAGTGTTTGTATTCACTTGTTGCCAAACATATTACATGTAGCATAATGATTTCATAAGTTCTCTCATCTAGAAACCACGGTTTTAAGTATTTTTGAGTCTTCCTCAATACTTACTTTAATGTTGTACATCCCATTATCAATAGATGGTGAGTACTTACAGGCTTGAGTGAGCTAAGGATTTTAAATAAGGACTCATCTATCTTGGTGTACAAGCTTGGATAGTGCTTTTTAAATACACATAAATAAAGTATGGTGGTATACTATTAAGAATTTGCTTAACACCAAAATGATAAATTTCAAGCTTGTTTCAAGTAAATATGATCTGTCACCAAGACTAAATTACGGGTTCTTCCATTCATTTTCAATCCTTCATGCATTTAATGGTTAGTATAGATACGACAAAGTTTTCTCAAGGTCACTTTTCAAATGATGCCAATAATCTGAAATGTAGTAAATTAGGCTTCTGAGCTAATTTGCAGCTTAAAGGTTGAATATTAAAATTTTGGCACTTTCACTCATTCATCATTCAACAAATGTTTAAGTGTCTAGTATGTGCCAGACACCTTTCTAAGCTGTGTAGACAAAACAAAACAAATGAAAACCATGCCCTCATAGAGCCCCCTTTCTAGTGGAAGAGAAGAACAAAAAATAAACACACAAATAAATCAGATATAAAATGATTAGTGCTAGGAAGAAAAAAAGTAACAAGAAAGGGAGAGAGGGGACACACTCCCACCTCAACGGTATATTTTTTAAACATATAATTATTTTTAGAGAGAGGGAAGGGAAGAGAAGAGTGAGAGAAACATCAATTTTCTCTCACATCCCCACTGACCTCTGCAACACCCGTAGGTTACTATTTTAAATATGTGAGTTAGGGAAGGCCTCCCTGAGATGACATTTGAATAAAGACCTAAAGGGGCAGAATAAGCAGATGTCTGGGGAGTGGTGTTCACTTCACTGCAGAGCAAGAGAAAAGATGATGGGTAAGAGCTGGCCTAGCGTAGTATAGGACAGACAGCAGGAAAGCCGCAGTGGCTGGAATAGAGCAAGAGAATAATAATAAAAAAAAAAGAGGTCAAGGGAGTAATAAAAAGAATCTCTAAATGAAAAATTGGGTTTCTGATTTTAACCTTATACATAATTTTATTAAGGTTGACGAGCCTTTCTCATTTTGCTGCAAAAAAGTAAAAAACAGCATATCTACTGATAGCAAGCATAGCAGGAAAAAGAACAACTGACAATTACAGAAGAGTTTAAAAAACTACCTCTGAGTACACTGTAATAAATGATGCTTCTTGGGTCAGAAAGTATCAATTACTGAGAAAGTTACATGATGTGAACATACAGTGGTTAACATTTTATTCCTTTGCTTAGCGGTCACTCAAAAAAAAAAAAAGGAAAGAAAGAAAAGAAACGCACCTGTGGAATCTGAAGGGACTTTATTCAAGCTTAGCTCATCCGTAAGGTCTTCATTTTTAAATTTATTTTTAAAATCTCTCACTTTGTTGATTATTGAATCAATTGTCAATTCTTTGCCACTTAAATCCTCAGCCTCCATTTCTTAAAAAAAAAACAAAAAACTGAACTAGTCATAATTCCTGTACTTTACTAGCATTACAGAGAAAAAAACACTGCAACTAGAGTTTTAGAACCCAGAAGACTAAAGCATTACTATGTAAACACATCTTAACACAGATGTATTAAAGTAGTATTTGTGAAGCTATGTGCATAAAAACAACTGCATATATTTGAAATTTGTTCATCAAGGTTCCCAATAGGGTAATTATGTTTTCTTCCTAACAGAAGTTCCATTGCATAACATAGAATCTGCTGCCCCTCCCCCTTTCAAACTTTCCATTTTTTTCTTCTACACACTGAATGCCTTCCTTTCACTCTTTCTCCAGACTTATTTTCTGTGGGCCATTTGCAAATTCTGTCCTTTGAGGAAATGTGATGGGCTTTTTGTTTGGATTCTGGTAGAAACATAGAAATAATCCTTTCGGTGACATGAACGACCATTCTTTCAGTCACCTGCTTTATGAGGACAAGCCCGCACACTGCAAGGGCTCTACCATTCCAGCCCTTTATTGATAAATGGGATATCTGCAGGCTTGTTCTTGTGCATTTCTCTCAGAATTCTGACTTGCTAACTTAACTACTCTAACATCAAGAATCGACTGTATTCTCATACCAAGCACTTGCTCATCTGCGTGGTAGTGATAATTAGTCAACAAAGTGTCTGCAGCCTTCCTGTCAATCTCACCTCTGTAATTCTCAAACATCAACCCAGTAACCCAGGATCATTCATATCAATGCCGCCAATGACCTCCAGTTTAACAACTAAAAGGGGAGGTAAAAATAAGCAGCTAGATATCACCTCTTTAAGTCAGGTTCGAAAGGTAACTGTCAGAAAAGAGCCTCCATCTCCTGTCCCAGTTTTAAAACACCAGACAAGAAAGGAAGTGACTTTTAGGAGAGGATCTTAGGTCCCCAAACTCTCCCCAGGTGCCCGGCCAGGCCCTCTACCCAAAGGTACCCACACCCACCTCTTGCTTCCTCTATCCTGAACAAAAACCCAGGCAACAACACCCAGTGGCCGGGCGGAGGCAGCAAGGCCTCCCCTCCCCCTCCAGCTGGTGTAGCCGCGCCCTACGTTGTCTACTCGGCTGAGCCGCCTTCGTCTCGCCTCCCACCACTTACCACCCACGCGGCCAAACAGCCTGTGTGTACGCCGCCACCGCCACACTTGTGTTGTGCACTTCCGAGGCTGAACGCACCGCCAGAAAGCTGAAAAGAGAAGAAAAGATGGAATCCAAGGCCTACTCCGCAAACACGTTTGAAATTCCCCGCTGCTGCTGCCCCGGCCTCCTATTGGCCGATGCTGGTCACGTGGAAGTCTGTCCGGACTGGTTTGTGTGCGCCGGCACCGCCCCTTCCTCTGCGACCCAGCAGTTCCGCCGCGGGAGGGTCCGCGCGGGGCCCCACCCTTGCTGGATTTCTGGCCCAGTGTTTTCCCGGCTCTCGGAGGTCGGCTTTCTTGCACCTTCCAGTTTAACCTGGACAGGTTTTTGTCAGAGGTGGAGCCACTCCCGGGAAGAGTTACCCGGTGAGAAGAAAACAGGGGCGGAGACGCTGCTCTCAGCATTCGGACCTAAAAGGTGCTTTGAGAGTAGGTCCTCCCCTCCCGCCCCGTGACCACCACCCCACTGCTTAGTACGCCACGCTCCTCGCCGGGCAGGCTTAGGAGGATGCAGCTACAAAGGGTGGTCCACTACCTTACCTTCCAGCACTGCTGACAGCTCAAGAATCTCAGTGCTTTTTGTCCCTGAGCTTTTACTTGTGCCCTTCCACTACCCATAAGGTATTCCACGCTTGTCTTCAAGCCAAGGCCCTCTCCTTTGTCAAGAATTCTGCGCAGAATTCACCTGCCCGTCACGATTGCTCATCAGCCACCTCCCCTCCGAGCCCGTCCCATTTCAGGGCTCAAGTATCCTCAGAGGAAGGTCACTTTCCGAGTAATCTTCCCAGGTGCGGGGCTCTGCTAAGTGTGGCTTTGTGATCCAAGGCAACAAGTGGTCGATTGTAGCAGCATCAACACTTGCGCTATGGTAGGACATTTTTGGGGGGAGTATGTTTAGGAGACTACCTGTAGCTGTCCCTTGGTAACTCCAAAGCTGCTAGAACCCTCCATTCCCAGCTCTGGCTAGCCATCCTGCCGGCCAGCACAAAAAACCCTAGTTACCTAGTGTATCTTTCCGTACCTGCTGGCTATGTATTTTTGCTGCATCTGAGCAATAGGATCGGTTAATCATCACCTTTGCACACGTGCATCTAACACTGCCTTTAGTTGGAAGGAATTTACTATTTCACAACTTCTCGTTGATCTCTTTGGGGCATGATCTCAAGCTTGCATCTTCCTGAAAATACCATCACTGAATAACTTCACCCTAACATTTTTTTTGTACATTCACTCCTTTGGTGATCTCCACCTGTTAATAACTCCCAAATTTATGTCTTTAGCTGAGTCCTTTCTGCTGAATTCCAGACTCATATACCCATTGCCTACTTAACATCTCCACTTAAGTGTCTCATTTCTATCTTAAACTCTTCTTACAAAATCTCTGTAAAAGACAATTTCATTGTTCCATTTTTAAGCCAAAAGCCTTGGCAACATTCCTGACCCCACATCTAATCCATAAGCACATTGTGTCAGGTCTAAAGAGATATTCCTAAAACTGTACCACCTCCACTGATACCACCCTAGTCCCAATCACCTTTGTCACTCACCTGGATTCCTGCCATAGCCTCCTGGCTGGTCTCCTTCCTTCTGCTGTTGCCTTTCCTCAATTTATTCTCCAGCACAGCAGAGGAATCTTAAATCGCCATGCCACTTCTTCCCTCAAAACTCTTCAGAGCTACCTGTCTCATTTATAATAAAAGCCCATATTCCTTACAATGGTCTAGAGCTGCAATGTTCAACAACATAGCTATCAAACACTTGAACTGTGATTAGTACACCCAAGGAACTGAATTAATTTAATTTTAATTAAAATTAAAAACAGTGCAATTATTGGAAGACTTTTAAGTATATTTGCAAAAACCCAGATATATGAACTTACTTTTTTCAAATGTAAATTTTGTAAATGCAGATTAAGTACTTCCTATGAAAATGTCTCACTTTGATAATATAAATATAAATGTACACTGGATTTTGAAGATTTAGTATGAGAAATAAGGTAAAATATGGGTAATTTTAAAAATATGAATTACAGTTAAAATTATATATTTGATGTATTAAAATATATTAAATGTAATGATATATTTATCACTATATTGTGTTTATATTATTAAATTAATAATATATTTTAATACAATATATCAAAAATATAACATAGGTTCTACCTACAAGTGTAACCTAATCAACAAAACAAACAAGCAAGCAAAATATAACCAGAGACATGGAAACAAAGAACAAACTGACAGTGACCAGAGAGGAGAGTGGAAGGGATATTGGAGGGATTAGGGGGAAGGGTTGTCAAGGAACATATATAAAGGACACGTGGACAAAGCCAAAGGGGAATAGGATTGAGGGTGGTAGGTGTGGATGGCTAGGGTTGGGGGGAGTGGAGGAGGGAAAATGACAAAAAAAAAAAAGCATTTGTTATGGAAAAAAAATACAGACTTCACTTTCTGTCAAAATTCTGGGAAAGATTTATCTATATATTGAGTAAAATCAGCATTCTTCTTTATTTCACCTCAAGTTATTTAAAATAGGGATGAATAAAATTCTTTAGTCCTGTATTTTGCTCTTTAAATAAAATGCTCATGAATGAACAAAAAATATTATTAAGATTAATATCTCCTGTCACAGACCAGATCATGGCTTGAATCCTGAAACAGAGAGAGGACATTAATAAAAAAAAGATCTAAATCTAAACAATAACAGATTTCACTAACAGTAATGAACCTGTGTAGATTTCTTTGATGCTGCCAACTAAGCTATTGAAGAGTGCACCAGTGTAGGTTTCTTAACTTTGACAAATGTACCACACAGTAATATAAGATCTTAACAGCAGGGACATTGAGTGAAGCATGTATGCCAACTGTCAGTACTACCATGGCAACTTTTCTGTAAATCAAAAATTGTTTCAATTCTGGAATAGATCATAGCATTGTTTGAAAGCAGAGGTCTCCCGATACCAACATGACTCATTAAAAACAACCCATATAAAATATACTAAATTTCATTTTGATTTTTTCTAAAATTAGAGAAGGCCATAAATAACTTTAGCAAAGAAAGTGACAAAGACTTCTACTGTTTTTGTGGAATGGAGAAGTGATATAAGCTCTGTACTGCCAAAGTGGGATGATCTGCAATTCTACAGAGCATTGCCCTCAAAGAACATTGCTTAATGGTTTGAGGGAAACTTCATGTTGACCCCTAGTGCGAGGCCTTCAGAACCCTGTCCTTGGTCTTATTTGAAACCACATATTTTATCTGTGTGGCAAACATATAGAGATAATGCTTGTTAATTCTGCACATACTAATTAAAGCAAGAAAAACAAAATTCTAGAAGAGAATTAAGCTTCAAATTGACAATATGAAATTTATAAGGACAAATGTAAACGCATACAGGTTTATAAAAATAAAATTCTCAAATATAACGCATAATTAGAGTCCAGATAATTGGGGAAACATAGTCCAGATTTATGCTATGGAAATAACAAAAATTGCACAAAAGAAAACAAGCATTTTCCAGCATTAGCCATCAGGCAGCACAGGACAGTGACCCCTGGGAGTAGAGGAACAAACGAGGGAGCCCTGAGATTGTCTCTAGATTATTTTCTAGAGTTTTCAAGCTGCAGTGTAGGAAGGGGAACCCAAGGATAGCATGGCATTCTCCCTGAGTTAAGGGGTAGAGCTTGGAGTTTGGAATGCCCTACATAGCAAAGGTTCACTGGGCAGAGTACCAGAGAAAAGATAGTGCAGAGAGAACTCTGGAAGTCTACAGAGAAGCCTCTTGAGGCTCCGACTGAACAATGGTGAGTACAAGTGTCCAAGGAAACTACCCCACCACCAGGGGAAAATAATAGCGGAAAGGATCAAAGGGAGTAATCTCTAGAGGTCATGAAGGGAAAGAAATATTTCATGTTCCTCTGTACAGCAACAGACAAAGGACACGTGATATTTCCTCAGTACTGGGGCAAAATTAGACCTATACTAAAGAATGCACTCGTCCAGCCTAATAAGGCTTAAGAGCAAGCCTTAAAAGGATCAGACTGTTTCCATGAATTTAACTGCACCCCAGAACAAAACTCAAGATTTTTTATAGCAATACAAGAAAATTTAACCAGGTCAAATTCATAACATCTGGCATCTAATTGAAAACATTATCAGGTATTCTAAGAAGCAGGAAAATGTAACCCAGAAAAGTGAAAGAAACTATCAGTTGAAACAGATTCAAAAATGGCACTGAAGACAGAATGAGTAGATATGGACACTAAACAGTAATTATAACTATATTCCATATGGTCTAGAAGTAAGGAAATGTGAATATGCTAAGGAGATATATGGAATATATGAGAAGACCCAAAATAAACATCTAGAGATTAAAAATACAATGTCAGCAATAAAAAGAACACCAGATAAGATTAACAGCATATTAGACAATGAAGAACAAAAGTTCAAAAACTTGAAAACAGCAATAAAAACTGTGCAAAATTTTTAAAAAATGAAAAGGTACACAAGCCCCGACTACTGTGGCTCTGTTGGTTGGGCATCCTTTTCCACAAAGTGAAAGGTTGCTGGTTCAATACCCAGCCAGGGCACATGCCTGGGTTTCAGATTCAGCCCCTGTAGGAGCATGTAGGAGAGGGAACCAATTGATGTTTCCATCGCATTGATGTTTCTCTCCCTCTCTTTCTCCCTCCTTTCCCCTCTCTTTAAAATAAATAAATAAATAAATAAAATCTTAAAATACACACACAAAGTAAACAAAACATCTATGAGCTATAGGACACCTTAAAGTGGACTAAGGTAGATGTAAATGGAGTTTTCACAGGAAAGGAGGGAGACCTGAAGAATATATTTGTAGGAAAAAAATGGCCAAAAATTGTTCATTTTGATGAAAGCTATAAGTGAACATATTGAAGAAAAATAACAAATCCTAAACACAAGAAACTTAATAAAATTCATACCTAGGTACATAATTAAATTGCTTAAAACTAATAATAAAAAGAAAATCCTAAAAAGCACCCAGAGAAAAAAGACGTGTTATGTAAAAGGGAGCCAACATAAAGATGCCGGCAGAAACAATGTAAGCTCAGAAACAATGGAGGAATATCTTTAAAATA